CTAAAGTCTTGCTTATTGTATTGAACAAGAGTAGTATTGTATTGAACAGGAGTAGAATCCTTGTCTTATTCCTGGTTTTACAGGAAAGGTTTTTAGCTTTTCCCCATTTAATATGATCCAACAAGCCAGGTGTTGGTGGCACAAGCTTGTAATCCCGGTATTTGGGAGGGTGAGGTAGGAGACTTACCATGAGTTCAAGGCCATCTGGGTTTAGTGATTTCAAGGTCAGCCTAAACTACATAGCAAGGCCCTGTCTCAAAAAACAAAAGGAAAATCTGCCTGTAATCCTAGCACTTGTGAGGCTGAGGCAGGAGGATCATTGCGAGTTCGAGACTAGCCTAGGCTACATAAGTGAACTCAAGACCAGTCTGAACTGCATAGCTGAGACCCTGTCTCAAAAAGATAAAGCAAAACAAAACAAAACAAAACAAAAATCCAACAAAAGTATTTTTAAAGGTGAAAGAACATAGGAGCTGGGTGTGGTGGCGCACGCCTGTAATCCCAGCACTTCAGAGGCTGAGGCAAGGAGGATCATTGCAAGTTCGAGGCTAGCCTGGGCTACAAAATGAGCTGAAGGCTGGTCTGAACTGCACAATGAGACCCTGTTTCCAAAAGACAAAAAGAAAAAAAAAAAAGTAAAAGAACCCAAAGGATATGGTAGGGTATATTCATAGGGTAGGATACTATGCAACCACTAAAATGTCTTTTTGCTGGGCACAGTGATTATGTGCCCATAGGCCCAACTACTTGGGAGGCTGAGACAGGAGGACTGCAAGTTGGAGGCCAGCCTGGACAGTTTGTTTATTTATTTTTTGGTACTGGGAATTGAACTTAGGACCTCATGCTTGCCAGGCAGGCACTGTGCCACTGAGCTATATCCTCAGCCCCTAGGACAGTTTAGTAAGACCTTGTTTCTTATTTAAAAACAAACAAATCTGTTTTGAAGAGTAATGATAAAGGAAGGTGCTTATTATACACCTTTGAGTGGAAACATAATGTGCTTATGTATAATATGATTTCAATAATCTAAAGGAGATACTGCATAGAAAAACCTTTAAAGAGCCACACCAGAATGTTAACAGTATGTAGGTGGGATTTTGTGTGACTTTATTATTCTGTATTTTCTTTTTTAAGCATTTTTATTTTTATTAGTACATGTTTATAGTACATAATGATAACACTGGTCATGGGGATTTGGTACATGTATGTAACAATTTTAATTTTTTTATGTCCCCTTCCCTCCTTCTCCTCCCTACATCTGTCTTTTGTATTTTCTACATTGTTTTTGTATAAGACAATCTAAAGAATAAAGTTATAGACACAGACTGACAGTAGGAAAGAATAAAGAATGTAATGAGCTGCTTGAGTGTGAGCAGTGGTGTCAAGAAGGAGCCATCCCTGAAGTTGTTTATAGGCTCTCATTATCTGGAAAAAGGTGAGCTGAGAGGCCCATGAGAGTTGAGCAGAATGACCTCTCAGTCTGACTCCTGTGTCTTCATCTTTGTCCAGCTCTTAGAACAAGCGCTGGTGATTGAGGAGCAGCTGCGCAGGGCGGCTTACCTGAACATGTCAGAGGACCCTTCTCACCCTTCCATGGCCCTCAACACTCGCTTTGCCGAGGTGGAGTGTTTGGCAGAAAGTCACCAGCACCTGTCCAAGGAGTCGATGGCAGGAAACAAGCCAGCCAATGCAGTCCTGCACAAAGGTAGCCAGTGGCTCCCCTGCCTCCTGTGATGGAGCCACCCCCTCCACTAACCCCTTCTCAACACCCATATAATTCTTGCCTGGAACCTTTTTCAGAGCATATTAGAGAGCCTCGGGTGTGCTGAGGATCTCTCCCTTGCAGGCAGTCAAGGACAGTAGTTCTTTGCCTCTTCTAACTCTTAATATAGTCCTGTTCTTGAGATGGAAAGTAAAGCAGAATAATAGTGTCATCTGGGATACTTTAGAGGTAACTTAAGGTGATTTAAGATCTCTTTAAATTCTAGACCCTTTTCAACATTTTGTTTCTAATTAAAGTAAAACATTCTGAGGAGGTGGCGGGTGAAATGAGGAGAAGGCTGCTAGAGAGGAAGTGGGAGACAGATCCACAAGGTAGGGGGAAGCACGGTAAGAGTGCAAAAGAAACAGCAGGAACAAGCTTCTCTGTAGAAGTGGAGGAAATGCCGACAGAAGTGAGCAAGGGATGATGATAAGGGATAAAGTTAGATGACATTAAAAAGCAGAGAACTGTGAGACAGTGAACTAGAGTTGAGGAACAGTAACTTAAGCATGGTAGAGGCCAGATCTGATGACTTAGTGACAAAAGACAACACCACATCACAGTCACTTGGCCATTAAGAAGTGAGGGCCTTGATATGTTGGTGCACACCTATAATTGTACCATTTGGAAAGCTGAAGTAGGAAGAATCACTGCAGGTTGGATGCCAGCCTGAGGTGTATAGTGAGTTCAAGGTCAGCCTGAACTACATATTGAGACCCTATCTCAAAAAACAACAAAACAAAACAAGGATGGGGTGGAAAGATCTAAAGATCTACATCTTGACCAGCACAGCTCACCACCTTATTTTCCCTCTCTGCAGTTCTCAAACAGCTGGAAGAACTGCTGAGCGACATGAAAGCTGATGTGACTCGGCTCCCAGCTACCATTGCCCGAATTCCTCCAGTTGCTGTGAGGTTACAGATGTCAGAGCGGAACATTCTCAGCCGCCTGGCAAACCGAGCACCAGAGCCTCCCCCACAGCAGGTAGGACTATTTTTTTAAAAAATTAAGTTTATTAGTACATTTTAGGTATACATACTATCACATTCATTATAAGGAATTTGTACCCGTACATGATATAACTTGATTCTTTTTTTCCCATTCCCCTACTCTCCCTTCAACCCCTACTCTCTTATAAAAGCTTTGTTGGCATTTTTTCCTTCTTTTCTCATCATTTTTTCTTTTCTCTTCCTTCCTTCCCCTCTCCCATATCTCTAGTTCCCCTTCCCATTTGAACATTTTCTTCTGTTTCACAGTATCTGTTGTACATATTGGTTCCTTATTCACACCTTTGGTTACTCACACCAGAGAAATAGCAGTATTTACACCTGTGTAGGACCATTTTCTTCTCTGTGCCAGGTCTTCCCACAGAACCATTCTTGAACTTGTATTTTGCTCTCAGTCCCTAGTTTTACTCCCTGGCAGCACCTGGGCTATCCAATGAGGCCCCTGGGCTCAGGTGCTCTACAGTTCTAACTCTTTGCTCTTTCTGTAGGTTGCCCAGCAGCAGTGACCATCTGGATTGGTGATGACCACCTCCATAGCTGAGCAGTTTTCTCTTGTCCCAGCTTCTCCCCAAGGGGCCTGAGAGACCCTCGCCTTCTGCCCATCTTCGTGTAAAGGAACAGCCCTGGGCACCAGGGCCGGGGAGGGAGTGAGGGGCAGTCGTGCCCTTCCTGCTGAAGAGACACGCAGCAGTAGCGCCGGCGCCATCTGCAGGGAGCTGGCGGGCTGGCATTCCGGACCCTGGCTTCTCCCCACTGTAACCTCCGTTACACACAGACTGTTGTGGGTTCCTGCCAGGCTTGAAGAAAACGATCTCAATTTCTTCCTCCTTTTGGTTTTATTTTGTTGGTTTATTTTGTGTTTTCTTTTGTCCTTTTTGGGGGTATTCAGAGTGGGCCGGGCCCCTGGGCGAGACACAGCTACCTCTGTTGGCATCTTTTTAATACCGGGAACCCAGCGGCTCCAGCCACTGAGCGGCTAAAATGAAATAAAGTGGAAAAAAAAAAAAAAGAAAAAAAAAGAACCAAAAGCATAAAAAACCACAGCAAATTTCTTGATGAGAATTGAAAATAAAAGTTTCCTTGTATTTTAGTGTTCTGGTTCCGTGTGGGTGTAAGGCACAGGTGGACAACGGGCATGGAAGGAGCCCCAGAAGCTGTGGGTGGAAAGGAAGGGCTGCTCTTCCCTACAGAGCCCTGGTACCCCAGCCAGAGAGACCCCTGTGCCTCAGGGGCTGGGCATTGCCTGAAGGCTCTGTCAGCTTGACCGACTTGGGTCTCAGGGTAAACCAGTAGTGTCCGGGACTTTTAGTTTTTGCAGAGTTTGGTAAATCAAACCCAGGCCCTCATGCGTGCTGGGCAGGCATGTGACTGATTCCCGGATGAGAGGCACTGACCATTTAGATTTTCATACGAGGCCGGACAGGGAGGTGCACACCCAGCACTTGGGAGGCTGAGGCAGGATTGTCGGAAATTAAAGGCCAGCCTGGACTACATAGACCCGTCTCAAAAAACCCAAAAGAAAAATATTTTCTGTGCTAAACACTACTTTAGTGTTCACTCAGGGAGGTTTGGGTAAGTTTTTCTTGCAAGGTTCAGTGGAACTGTGCCCTCTTGACCTTCAGATGTCGGAGACCAAGGGGAACCCCTTCCTTACCGGAGAGGAAAGGGTGAGGCTGGAGGTGGGCGGCTCCACTGTTGCGCTCGGGTAGAGGGGAGGGGCGGCTTTTAGGGGCCAGCGCTTAGGGCTGATTGAAGCAATGGATAGTCCAGAGGCGGAAGCCAGCTCCGTAGACGTAGCGGGCGGTCCGAGGCTGTCTTCCGCTCAAGGGTCCAGAGGGCGCGGAGCCGGGGGGGGGAAATGCCGCGACCGGAAGGGGCGGGGCGGGCGATCATGCGCATGCGCGGCGCGCTTCCGCGGCCTGTCCGCCCCCGCGCTCCTGGGAGTGCACGTGGAGCGGCGCCTACTTCGGAGCGGCGGCTGGGCTTGTTCGGGTTTGGGGTAGGCAAGGCGGGAGCTGAGTGTGCGGGAAGTCGGGGCGCAGAAGGATGTCGCGTAGCCTGGGTGGAGGAGGGGCACAGTGTGGAGCTCGACGGCCGCGGGCCTGTCGGGGCGGGAGGGGTTCCGGGGCTCTTTCCCACGCCGCTGTCGCCGAGCCGCGGTCCTGCGTCCCCTCCGACGGGCGAGACGCCGCCTTATCCCGTGCTTTCCTCCAGTAGCATGGGGCGCAAGTTGGATCCTACGAAGGAGAAGCGCGGGCCAGGCCGAAAGGCCCGAAAGCAGAAGGGCGCCGAGACCGAGCTGGTCAGATTCCTGCCTGCAGGTAAGGGTTCCTGCCCCGGAGCCTTTCTGTGTGGGCGCATCCTGCCCCGGTAGAAGACGCCAGGAAGGAATTGCGAGTGGAAGCCTGTCATAGGGCAGGAGGGTGTGACGGCACGAATACTCGTGCAGGGAGAGGTGGCCTTTCTCATTGTAAATTTATTTCTTACAGAATTTGTGAAGTTTTGTGAAAGCTGTTTGTAAAATGGTAACATTTTAGCAAGCGGGAGTTGGGGATGGGACAGGCCAGTCACCTGGCTGGAGGGATGGAGGTGGCAAAGCTTGGATGGGTGAGACGTCGTCTACCTGGAGGTCAGGTGGGCCAGACTGCTGCAGAAGGAGTTTTGGTGTTGGGCAGAGGCCGCAGTTCACTGAAGTAGCAAGCCTACTCGGAACTCCTAGGACACACCGTATCGTTTGGTTCTCTGAGAAAGTGGGCGCCAGGAGTTTTAAACGACAGGTCTGAGAGTATGCCCTTTATGTCTTGGTAGTGTATAAAAAACAGCATTCATGATGTAAAATCTGGGGTTGATAATTGGGGTTGAGTAAGCTGAGAGTAAAGGCAAAGGAGAGATAAAGTATTTTTGAATTGATACTGGCTTTTTTTTTTTTTTTTTTTTTTGGTACTAGGAATCGAACTCAGGACCTTGCACTTGCCAGGCAGACGCTTATGCCACTGAGCTATATCACTGGCCCTGAATCGATACTGTTGGAATGTTGATGTTGCTCTTTGTTAAAACACGGAGGAAGGCCCAGTTTGGATTTTAAATTTGTTTCTTGAAACAGGGTCTTGCTGTGTAGTCCAAGTTGGTCTTGAACTTGCAGTGATCCTCCATTATCCTCCCAAGGTGCTGGGATTACATTGGTGCACCAGCATGCCTGGTGGATTTAAAATTTTTATTTATCATTTTTTGTGGTACCCAGGATTGAACTGAGGGTCTTCCGAATGAGCTATATCTTCTTAAAATTTCTAACAGGTTTTTAAAGTTTTGGGGTCAGGTCTCACTAAGTTGCTAAGTTGCCCATGCTAGGCTTATACTTGCCACTTTCCTGCCTCAGTCTCCAGAGTGCTGGAATTACAGGTTTACCGTGCAGATTTAGTTGTTGAACAATCAGATGAGTGCTTCATGTCCTTCAGTTTTGTTTTTAATGGTGCTGGGACTGGACACAGAACTTTACATGTGCTAAGTATGTAGTATACAAATGAGCTATATGCCCCCAGCCCTTTTCCCTTTTAACTAGCTCCTAGTACTGTGAAGTTGTAATCTACTCCTCTGAGATAGTTAGACAGAGGTAATAGATCCTAGATTCTGGATTGTGACTTGTTTAGGTAATCAAAAATTTTTTATGCTTCAAATTTTTACCATAGTTTTGTCCCACATCATGCCCGTTTCATGATTTTGTATTTAATTAATATTACCTAAGTGATTATATATACTCATAATCTTATTTGTTCACCATAGTTATGACCTACCTCATGCCCACCTTGTGATTTCCCATTGGATCAATGTTACTTAAATGATTATACTTAGGTAACCTTGTTAGTTGGTTATAGTTTTTCCCACCTTGGACCCGCCTCACGTTGTGGTCTTGCTCTATAAAATCCCTCTTGACCTCCAAATGTTATAAGGGAAAAAAATTCCAAACTGCTACATGTCTAGCACAAGTTCCTGTTCTCTAAAATGGAAGAATGAATTCTAGCAATAATGGAGGTTAGATGCAGAATATATTTATTGGGGAAAGAAAGCTTCTTCCTAAGAGAGACAGAAGGGCTTCCAAGTGGGTTGCCTTATTCTGTCTTTTATTTTTAAGCAGCGGGTGATGAACATTCCAAGAGACTGTCCAGTCGTGCTAGAAAGAGGTAAGTGTGGACATCTGGACTTGGGTAGATTAAATTGGTGCTGCTCATCTTTAGCTACATGGAGCCTGGTTGAGGGAAAGGGCTGTGAGCTGTGTCATTTTCTTCTGGGGGTGGTGGGCTAGCTGGAGACATGTTCTGTCTTCTCAATTCTTACATTTTTTAGGGCAGCCAAGAGGAGGTTGGGGTCTGTTGAAACCTCTAAGACAAATAAGCTCCTGGAGACCAAACCGTCCCCTGGAAAGCTACCAAAAGGTCAGTGGAAATAGAAGATGGGTCTCCTTGAGAGCTCTGACATGTCCTGGGCAGAGGCAAACTTGCTGAACATGGAGGTGTGGAAGGAAGAGCTGGAGGGGTGGAAAGTAACAGGTCAGGGTTGTGGGGCAGGGCAGTGTCCTTGCTTGTAGTCCTGGATTCTTCAAATCCTTGGGGACCTTTACAGAAGAAATCCAAACACCTGGTAAGAAGGGAACACAGTCCTTGTTTAACGCCACTCGAGGCAAGAAGCGTCCGGCACCAGCTCACAGCAGTGATGAGGAAGAGGAGGAGGAAGGCTCTGAGGAGGATGGCGAGGTGGAGGAGAGGGCCCTGTGGGGCTCAGAGGACAGTGATGCTGAGATGGTAGATGACTATGGAGCTGACTCGAACTCAGAGGATGAGGATGATGCTGAAAAGGTGAGACTCCTGGTTATTCACAGACGGAGCTTTGTCTTTTAGTTTCTTTCCAGCTCTTCAAGACTACCCCTAGTGACGAGGATAACCTGGCTCGTTAAGAGGGGTTCTGGTCTTCCTTACTCTTTTCCTGCTGTATTATGTCCTTTTTCCTGACACAAGTTTGGAAGAGCTGTAGGGTAGAGCATTTTAAAAAGTGAGAGTGCGCATTGCTTTTGATGATGTGGGAAGGTAGATACTTGTATGCCACACCAATGTGAATAGACATGTAAACACGTTTTTAGTAAAATAATTGTGATCTGAGAACTTTAGAAAAGTTTCTTTTGGGCCTGGTGCAGTGGCACTGTAGGCCCACCTACTTAGGAGACTGAGGCAGGAGGATTGCTGGAGTCTAGGAGTTCAAATCCAGCCAGGGTAACATAGCAAGACCTGTCTTAAAAAAAACGTATTTTTCTTTGGACTTAATAATTCTGTTTTAGAAAGTGATCAAAAATGTAGATAAAGGTTATTTACTGAGATGTAAGAAGTTACTACACAATTGCTTGTTAGTATGTTGCTACAAAAACTTAAGCAGAATGAAAAAAAGAAAATCCCCAATTGCAGCCTAGGACCTTGCTCATGCCAGGCAATCACTCTGCCCCTGAGTTTTATCCCTAGCCCAACTCCCCTTGCATTCTTTCCCACAGTCCCCCTCTTATCTGCAGTTACAAAGTTGGCAAGTACCATGTGCATTATAATCCCAAAAAACGGAAGTTGCCAAGGCATTGACTGTGTTTAAGTATTATAGTTCCTGCATCTGATGAGTTAACATTGGCCCATTATGTCTGAGAAAATGCTCATGGTCAACTAAATTAAAGAACAAGAAACAAACTTGAAAGTGCATTGTGATTTGAACTATTCATATAAAGTCTGAAAGAAAATATGAAAAAATAATGCCCAAGAGCAGTTTGTGTTCTTTTCATACATACGATTGTGTAGGTGTATTTAATTTTCTTTTAAGTCAGTACATGTGAAAGTAGAAAGAATGATGTTATGAACCTTTTAATCCATCACTTATTTTCAGCAGTGACCAGCATTGTGTCAGATCTTCCTGGTGCTGGAGATCAAACCCAGGGCCTTGTGCATGATGGGCAAGCGCTTTTCCACTGAACAACATCTCCAGCCCCTGTGTTAAATCTTATTCTTTTTAGCTTTCATATTTGTTTCTGAGAGCAAGTGTTAAATCTGTATTTAGGAGTAAAATACCCAGGTAGACAGTATGACCTGAGAAATGGAAGGGTAGCCTTGTGTTGTCAGCCCCTTGTCTGTCTTTTCAGTTGCTGCCTATTGAAAGAGCTGCTCAGAAGCAGAAGGCTCGGGAAGCTGCTGCTGGGTGAGTTTTGGAAACTTAGGATGGTGGAGAGGCAGCTGCTGGCCTGCAGAAGGTGTCTGTTTTGGTCTGTGAATCACTGTTCCTGGACTTGTTTCTAGGGGCCAGTGGAGTGAGGAGGACACTGATGAAGAGGAAGAGGAAGAAATGGCCCCTGAGTCAGGCCCCACAACGGATGAAGCAGATGGGGGCCTGCAGATCAATGTGGATGAGGAGGAGTTTGTGCTGCCTCCTTCTGGGGAGATGGAGCAGGATATCCTTCCAGAGCTGGGGGTGGGTGGGTAGAAGGAAAGTGCTTTGGCGAGAAGGGCATTCTCAGCCTTACAATTGCATGAAACAGTTCCTTAGCAGGTCCACATGTCCAGGCTCCAGACCTGCAGCGAGTTCACAAGAGGATCCAGGACATAGTAGGAGTACTGCGTGATTTTGGGGCACAACGGGAAGAAGGCCGGTCTCGTGCTGAGTATCTGAACCGGCTTCAGAAGGATCTCGCCACTTATTACTCCTACGGAGACTTCCTGCTTGGCAAGCTCATGGAGCTCTTCCCTGTGTCTGAGGTATGGGATGGCCAGTCTAATGCTTCCTGTCCTTTTTCACTCACCTTACTCCATAATGAGGATGTGCAGCCCCCTTCTTTCTTCTTGTCTGACTAAGCCCCTTAGCTAGCCTCACTCAGCTCCTGCAGTTTTTTCTCCCCAGCTCATAGAGTTCTTGGAAGCTAATGAAGTCCCTCGGCCCATCACCCTCAGGACCAATACCTTGAAAACCCGGCGCCGAGACCTTGCTCAGGTAAAGGGCTGGTGTAGAGTCCGTCTGTCTTGGAGAGGGACCAACATCTGCTAACTGGGGGTTTACCTGTCACACCCTGGCTGGGTGGGTTCTTAGGATTTAAGCATATCCCAGGAGGCAGTGTTGCAGGCTGAGGGATGGGAAACTCCTTCCCCTGGACTGCTCCCTGGGGCTGGGATGAGACACCTGCATCTTAGTAAATTACCTTCTGAGCAAATTGTAGGCAGGACACTGAGAAGCTAGGGAAGCTGGCGTGCCCTGCCACCCCCCCAGAGCTCCCTGTTACATAGTGTGGTTTTGTGTATTGTGTATCTTCTATGGTAAAAGTAACTTAGTAATTATCTTAATGTGCTGTAACCAATAATGTTAAATTTTAGGATGAGAGAGGCCTTGAGCCCCTTGCAAAATCAGGATCTACTACCAGGAAATGAAAAAACCGGACCAGGGGCATTTGATGCTTTGGGAGAAAAATTAAATCTTGAGTTAGGAACCTGGGATTAAGAAGAAAGGTTGGGGCTGAGAGTGTGGCTCAGCAGTAGAGGGCTCCAGCACTGCAGATAGAGGACAGGTGAGGGCGCCACAGACAGGAGGAGGAGGAAGATGAGGACGAGGAGGAGTCTGTGTTTGCTGTTCTGAGTGAGCAGTCCAGGAGTAGGGTGTGTGGAGTGGCTGGTAGATCTGGCCTCCCTTGTCTCCAGGTTGGTATATCCTGAGTTTTTGCATCTTTCCCCTTCAGGCACTAATCAATCGTGGGGTTAACCTGGATCCCTTGGGCAAGTGGTCAAAGACTGGACTTGTGGTATATGATTCTTCAGTGCCCATTGGTAAGTGCTCCCTGACTGATAGCCCTCTTATCCCTGTCCTTGTCCCAACATATCACAAAGTGGTCCTTCCCTCTCAGGTGCTACTCCTGAGTACCTGGCTGGGCACTACATGCTGCAGGGAGCCTCTAGCATGTTACCCGTCATGGCCTTGGCGCCCCAGGAACATGAGCGGATCCTGGACATGTGCTGTGCACCTGGAGGGAAGACCAGCTACATAGGTAGGAAGGGGTGGGGGGCTCCTCTGGTGCTCTGCCTTTGACAGTAGAGGGGGTTGGTGACTGCCTAGTTCTCATGGCACTTTCCAGGCAGCTGGCAGAGTGACGAGGAGCAGTTTTTGGAGTAGGTCTGGCCTCCAGTGCTAGCTGTACCACTTACTGCCCATCTGACCTGAGGAGACCTCTCATTCTCTTTCATCATCCATAAAATAGTATAGGAATTGTGCTGAGCTGGCTATTACATTACATTAGGTTGTGCAGGTTGACACAGTGTATCTAGAATTCTCAGAGCTGAGTGTGGTAGCACACACCTGTAATACCAGCACTTGGGAGGCTGAGGCAGAAGGGTTGCTGCACAGGTTTGAGGCTAGCCTGGGTGGGCTACACAGCAAACTCAAGGCCAGCCTGAGCTGTATAATGAGACTCTATCTCGAACCCAAAAAACAAACCCAGAAATGTCGTCCTTGGCACAGCGTCAAGTAAGTAATAAGCAGTGTGTCATTTTATGAAGCTGTTACCAGTTAACAGCAGTAATTTAGTCTTTGGGGCCAGAAGGTGTTCAGTAAGAATGTTGGCAGGCTTGCTGGTCAGCTGGGACAGTGCAGGCCGGGCAGACTGTGCAGTAGGGAGCAGGGGTTGTTGGGAGTGAAGCTTTGATGAGTGGAGGTGACTTGGCCCTTGGGTTCCTGGCTGGAGGGTGGGCAGGAATATGGAGGCGGAGGATCTGGTTGCTCATCACTGGTGCCTCCCTCCAGCCCAGCTGATGAAGAACACGGGGGTGATCCTTGCCAACGATGCCAATGCTGAGCGGCTCAAGAGTGTTGTGGGCAACCTGCACAGGCTGGGAGTCACCAATGCCATTATCAGCCATTACGACGGCCGCCAGTTCCCTAAGGTTGGACTCTTCCCCTTTGATGTCAGTGTTGAGCTTTGCCCCTAGGCAAGACTTGCTGCAGATTGTAGGAAACATGTACTTGACCTGCCCCTCCTCCAGGTGGTGGGCGGCTTTGACCGAGTCCTGTTGGATGCTCCCTGCAGTGGCACTGGGGTCATCTCCAAGGACCCTGCGGTGAAGACCAACAAGGTACAGGCTCAGACGGGAGTGGCTGAGAGGGTTGGGCTGTCCTCAGGAGTGGGGTGTGAGGTGGAGGAGCATCCTGGGCCTTACGTCACCTGGGTCTCCTTGGGATAGGATGAGAAGGACATCCTGCGCTGCGCTCACCTTCAGAAAGAGCTGCTCCTGAGTGCCATTGACTCTGTCAACGCCACCTCCAAGACAGGTGGCTACCTGGTGTACTGCACCTGCTCCATCATGGTGAGGTCTTTGCTGTGGCAGCTTGGGAGGGAAGCGGGGTGAGGCCCTTCGCAGCTTCAGCTCCCCTTATCTCCTGCTGGCTGTGTGTGCCCTCTGGTCCAGGTGGAAGAGAACGAGTGGGTGGTGGATTATGCCCTGAAAAAAAGGAATGTGCGGCTGGTGCCCACAGGCCTAGACTTTGGCCAGGAAGGTTTTACTCGTTTTCGAGAAAGGCGCTTCCATCCCACTCTGCGTTCCACTCGGCGATTCTACCCTCACACCCACAATATGGATGGTTTCTTCATTGCCAAGTTCAAGAAATTCTCCAATTCTGTCCCCCAGGCTGAAGCAGGTAAGCAGTCTGCTCCTCTCACTCCTTGCCCCCTTTGCTCCTTGTGCCTGTCCAGAGACCTCATGGTGAGTGCAGGAAGAAAGATGGATGCTTGCTTACTTCGGGCGTAGCATGCTTGGGTGTCCTCGGAACTCTTGAGCTCTGGACCGAGTTCGAATACCTTCAAGTGTTCACAGAGAGGGGGCCTTTTCCTTTCTTCTATCCTGTGGTGGTGACTGTTTTTTTTTGTTGTTGTTGTTTGCCTTTTTGAGACAAGGTTTCACTATGCAGTTCAGGCTGGCCTTGAACTCACTTTGTAGCCTAGATGGGCCTCAAACTCAATGATCCTCCTGCCTCAGCCTCCCAAGTGCTGGGATTACAGGCAGGCCACTAATGCATTTTAGCCGCAGGCTGTGGTTTCTTTTCCATCTTGGCCTGGGTCTGACTTACTGGCAGTCCAGGTCTGCTGGTCCAGCATTCTCAGCACTGGCTTGGCACAGGCACTATGAACTATCAGCAGTTCTCTGAGCCTGTCTTGCTAATTGCAGATTGTTTTCTTGACCATCTTGAGGATGGCCTGGATCTCAAGGGCAAGGGTGGGGTTTCTGAAACAGATTTGACAGCTCTGCATGTTGGGATATAAGGCTGGGTTTAATGGCAGACAGAAAAGCGTCTCTGAATACAAATTGTGTGATTTGCGTTGATTTTTTTTTTCTTTCCCTCAGCCCCCTGCTCGTCTTTTTTTTTTTTTTTAGGTGAGGGCAGTGCTGGGGCTTAAACCCAAGGCCTTGTGCCTACTAGGCAAGTACTGTGCTACTGTGCTACACCCCTAGCCCTAATATTTTTAAATGATGTCCCTTAACAAAAGTCATAGCTGATTTTTTTTTTTTTTTTAATTTCTTTGTCTTTTTGAGACAGGGTTTCGCTATGCAGTTCAGGCCGGCCTTGAGCTCACTTTGTAGCCCAGGCTGGTCTTGAACTCAAAACGATCCTCCTGCCTCAGCCTCCCGAGTGCTGGGATTACAGGCGTGCGCTACCACGCCTGGCTCATAGCTGAATATTAACATACAAAAATTTTAAGTAGGTAATTTAAGTACGTACTTGTCCATCTTCATTAGTGCTTTACTAGCTTGTTTTTAGTTGTTACATGGATGTGTATTGCATTTTGTCAGAATCCCCATTAGGGGAGAAATTGCTTTAAAAAAAAAGTCCTAGTGTTTCAGGTTTATTCAAAAGATGCTAGGCTGGGGATTTAGCTCAGCGGCAAAAGCGCCTGCCTGGCAAGCGCAAGGTCGTGAGTTCGGTTCCCCGTACTGGAGAAAAACCAAAAAAAAAAAAAAGATGCTAGGACTCAGTGCCTTCTTCTGGGTGTCCCTCTACCTACTGTCCTTAAGGGGGCGTGGCTCTTTGTAAAACCTTTTGGCCTAAGGAGAATCTCTCTTTTTTTTTTTTGTTTTTTTCCCTGGGTACCGGGAATGGAACTCATGACCTTGCCCTCGCCAGGCAGGCGCTGTGCCGCTGAGCTAAATCCCCAGCCCTCTTCTTTTTCATTTTTGAGAGGGTCAGCCTATGGAGACTAGGACTAGGCTGGTCTTGAACTCGCAGTGATCTTCCTGCCTCAGCCTCTGGGATTATACTACACCTGACTACAGTGATCTCTTAACACAAGTTCAAATAGGACAAATAATATGAATCTAGGTAACGAGCTCTTAGGCACCATCTTAATTGTGTGGAGTACTTGACCAAGAAATGGCAATTCTGGTGTTTTAATAACCTCTACTTCTTTGCTAGTGATAAAGACCATTTAATGATAAGGTCCATCTCAAATGTCTATTTAATTATAACCCTAGGAAATTCTGGAAGCGGCACCCCTACAGACTTGATGGGTCAGGATACTCCCAAGTCTGAGAACAGCAGCCAGCCAGCCAAGAAAGCCAAAGTGGCCACCAAGGCAAAGCCATCATTGCAGAAGGGTCAGCGTCCCAAGAAGGCCTCCTTCCAGAAGCTGAATGGCATCTCTGAAGGGGCAGACTTGGAATTGTCCACTGTACCTTCTGTCACAAAAGCCCAAATGTCCTCCAGGCTCCAGGATAGCAGTCAGCTCCCAGGAAAAGCTAATGCGAACAGAGAACCAAAGACGACTGGGAAGCTAAAGGGACAGGCACGGAAATTACAGTTCTCCAAGAAAGCTGCTTCCCTGAGACAGTCTGCCCGGCCCAAGGGCTGGGACTCTGGAATACCTGCTGTGGTGTCCCTCTCTGAGACTCAGGCGAGCCCCAGGCTGAAGGATCACGGTCAGACCCTTGAGAAGGCCAAAGGGGCTGGGAAGAAAGCCAAATTCCAGAAAGAGAATGGCACCCCCAAGGGCCCTCAGGTCCCCACTGTGTCCCCCCTCAGGTCCAGTCGGCCCCCACCAGCCAAGAAGAGGAAGCCTGCCCCAGGGGTCCACCAGCCACCGTTTTCTTAGCCGCTGAGAACTGGGGTGGCCTGGCTCACTACCACTGTCGCTGGGCTGGAATGCTGCTTTCTGTTGTGACTTCCCCCCTGTGCATACATATGAAATTTAATACACACGTAGCACCTCTGTCTGTTCTTTGAGGGACTGGGGACGATGCTGGTGGAAAGGTGGGATGGCGTTCTCAGAGGAGGGAGGGAGTAGGTGGCCTGAGATGCAAGGCCAGGTTCAGGTTCCCTTGGCCTCAGGGAAGGAGAGGTGTGGAGGCTCAGAGCTGGATGTTAAGCGAGAGCAGGGCAGTAGGGGTACGCACAGGGTGGGCTTCCCGCCACAGGAACCCACGGGGTGCTGGAGGTCCTGGGGTTCTGGGTTCCCCTTTCTGAGATCCAGGCAGTCCTGGAAAGGCTTCAGAGCTGAGAGGTCCAGGGCCCGGCCTCCGGTGTGAGCCTTTCATTGGCTGCCTTTCTGCCCGCCTCCTGACCTCTGCCATCTTATAGGGCTCTCTGATTGGTCGCCCGAATCCCGCGGGCGCCTCATTGGTTCTTTCTCTCGCCCTTCGTTCCGGCTCTAGCGCCAGGCTCCATCTCCCCGCAGAAGGTGCAGCCATGAATCCGTTATTCGGCCCTAACCTCTTCCTCCTACAGCAGGAGCAACAGGGCTTGTCCGGGCCTGTGGGGGGCAGTCTGGGGGGTGACCCCTTCTCTGGGGGCGGGGACTTGGCCCCGGCGCCACTCGCGCCCGCTGGCCCCGCTGCTTTCTCGCCGCCCGGCCCGGGCCCCGCGCCCCCAGCCGCCATGGCGCTCCGAAACGACCTGGGCTCCAACATCAGCGTACTCAAGACGCTGAACCTGCGCTTCCGCTGCTTCCTGGCCAAGGTGCACGAGCTGGAGCGCCGGAACCGGCTGCTGGAGAAGCAGCTGCAGCAGGCGCTGGAGGAGGGTAAGCAGGGCCGGCGGGGCTCGGCGCGCCGAGACCAGGCTGTGCAGACCGGCTTCGTCAGCCCGGTGCGGCCGCTGGGGCTGGCGCTGGGCGCTCGGCCGGCCGCCGTCTGCCCCCCGGCGGCGCGCTCTCCGGCCTGCCCCGCGCCGCCCTCCGCCACCGCGGCCTCCGCCTTCTCGTCGTCGGCCCGCTTCATGCCCGGCACCATCTGGTCCTTCTCGCACTCCCGCCGGCTCGGGCCAGGACTGGAGCCCACGCTGGTGCAGGGGCCTGGCCTGTCGTGGGTGCACCCTGACGGGGTGGGCGTCCAGATCGACACCATCACCCCCGAGATCCGCGCGCTCTACAACGTGCTGGCCAAAGTAAAGCGGGAGCGGGACGAGTACAAGCGGAGGTAGGGGCCGGGAAGTGGGGGCCGGGGCGCAGCGACACGCCGTGCACAGCTGGGCGGGGGTCCTGGGGGCCCCACAGCAGGGTGGACAGAACGAGTAACGCTCTCCCCGTGTGATGAGGGGCTTGGCAAGTGGTAGGATACGGGGTCCACGGAGAATGCAGAAGTCAGACTCATGACAGGAGAATGCTAGGAGCAGAACACTGGGGAATTCACAGTTTTTTCTGGCACGTCTCCCTTTCGCCTGCGGCATTCAGATGGAGGAGGGGTGCTTTGTGAGGAGTGAAAGGAACGCCTATCTGGAGTTCAGATCGCCCTACCAATCCCAGCTCCTGGGGCAGTTTCAGGGTATGAGTTCCACACGGATCATCTGAAGTAGCAGGCAAAGGATATAGCTGTATTTTTGAAAACTAAAGTAAATGAAGTCAGGAGGGGTGCTGAGGCAGGAGCTGCACTCTGTTGTGGGTGGTCCTGCTCTACCCAGACTTTCCCCGAGCCATGCTCAGAGAAGCCAGGTTTGTGCACTTGTTCCATATGAAAGGCTCTGGGACTTTGAGGCATTGGAGTAGGTGAGGAAAACGGAAAAAGACAGTGAAGGGAATTCACTGGGGCAAAGGGAAGGGACTTGTCCTAGGGCTGGTAGGGGACTCGGCCAAGGAAGCTGAACAGACCCAGCAGAGAAGGCTGGAACAGGAAAAAGCTGGAAATGCAGACACACCTTACAGCCCTCCGGCAGCTCAAGGCAGGCCCTGTGTGGTCTGAGGATGAAGATTTGCTTTCTGAGAAGAACCCTACCCCAGTGGGGTGGCATTAGGGGCAAAGGGAAGAGTTGTGGTACCTACCTGCTGTTTACTGGGTAGACTCCCTAGGTGCTTGCTCACCAGGCTGGTGCAGGAGGAGCTCAGGCAAGGCCAGTGCTTTGCAAACTGATCAGGGCCCTGGTGGAAGGGGAAGAGATGACAGTGAGGAGGCCTGGTTAAGGGGCTCCTGTCTCATCTTGGCTATTGTCACCCCTGGTGGGCAGAACTGGGACTACTTTTGCAGCTCAGAGCAGTAGAGATTGGCGCCTGGTTTACCAGTGGGCAAGGACTGGCCAAATGTTTTGAGAAACTGTCACTGGGTCTGGGGGCGACCTGGAGGGATTCATAACTGTAGCCCCCTGCACACGGATCAGCAGGCATTCTGAGGCGGAGGCCTGGCTTCAGGCTGGCTTTCTCAGGTAGGGTTCATGTGACACTTGTCCTTGGGGGTTTCGGTTGTCCTGAAACCATCATCTAGGTGCCACCCAAGACCAGTCTGCCCTTGCAGGAGTTAATGAGCACAGTCAGCAGAACACAGTTCTGGAATATGTCCATAGCCACAGGAACAACTGCTCTTTTTTTTTTTTTTTTTTTTTTTAAGTGAAAGAGTATTTGTCCTTGGTCCAGCTGTCCAGGGCAGCAAAGACTTACTCTTTGGGGACTGATTAGCTCATCCCTCTGCAGCACACTGCTGTGCAGCAGGCTCCATGGCCAGAACCATATGCTACGTGACAGGGGCAGCACTCATTCTTCCACCCCAGATCCCTTGCCCTCCTTCTGGGCTTGTTATGGCAACACTAGACCTCCTGTGGTTGACTGGGGAGGCCTGGGGATAGCTTGGTACTAAAGTGGGAAGGAGATGAGGCCTTCTGGGTTCTATTTTCAGCCCCCCTGCTTTGTGTGACCTTTTTCTATCTTCACTCAAAAATATACAGTAGCTTATTTGCAAGGGAGGTGTAGGTAAATTTAGTATTTGCAGAAGTTGCTCAGGATTAAGGGCAGCTTGTCCAGATGAGACCTGAGTGGAAGTCAAGGTGAACCTGTTGTGTGAAAGTCTGGCTGGAGCACAGAGAGAATCCCAGGGAGCTTCCCACAGATCCATTTTGAGATTTGTTTGCCCAATTTCAGATTTGTTTCCACTAAAACCGTAGAGTTCACTGTCAGACAATATTTCCTGACCTCTGGGATACATTTTGTGCAGGGTTATTGGCCCCTTTTCAGTCTTGCTGGCTTCTGCCAGGCACTCAGGGACTCCAGGCACGGGAGGGTACTGTGTCCTATGCCTTCATGCTGTGGATGAAGAAGTGAGGGCCCAGAAGAGAGGAGGGTCTCGGCTAAGAAAACTCACAGCCTCATGGTCCCAGGGCCCTCAGTGCTGGAGTGGAAGGAGAGGGGTGTGGGGCTGGCAGGGAAAGAGCAGAGAGCTGGTGGGGAGCCTCCGCCAGCTGAGTGGGAGGGGCCCAAGGTGGGGCAGGAGCTATTATTAGGAGCACTGCAGTGTGCTGCAGCTAGGCTCCAGGCACCAGACCTGAGGGGGCGAGAGGCAGAGCAGTGGCAGTAAGGGGCAGAAAGTGCCTAATCCCAGTCAGAGCAGCTCCTCCCTGGGATGTCTGTGTCCTTGCTGTGCTCTTTGCCACTTCATTGCCAGCTCTCTTCCACGGAGGCTTCTTTCTTGGTGCAGTGCCCTTCCTTTCTCAGACTGGGAGGAGCCTTTCCAGAATGTGGCGAGAATTGATGAGCCTGTGTGAACCAGGTCTGCGATGTGCTGCAAGTCCAGCCCCACCCTGGCCCCGGAAGTGACAGAGCCAAGTCCTAAGCCATGTCAGCCCCTGCTTCTCCTCCCACCCCAGGGTCGGGGTAGGCGCTCCCGTGCCTGGGAGATGGGCAAGAGTGTCTCCTGTCTCCCATGGTCGTGGTCTTGTCTCTAGATTCTCAAAGGCAGGAGGGGCTGCCCAGCCTGGCTCTTACCCTCCATTAGTGAGCTGCTCCCCTCTGATCTCCTTCCAGTCTGGGTGCTGAGTAATCCCTGGCTCCTGATGGCCATTGGTTTTGTGCAGCTGGGGGACTCTGGGCCCCAGTCAGCCTTGCCCCGTCTCTGAGGCTCACTTCTGGGGGCTCTGGGTAGGACTGCTCCTGAGCAGCCCTGGTGACCTGGCCTTGTCCCGCAGATGCTTTTGCAGGGTTAAATGTACCCCAGGAGGCAGGGCAGCGGGCTAGACGAGCTCTGTTCTGGTGCGGGCAGGAGGCGGGAGACCGGATCTGTGCCACTGAAGGTGGGAGACTGGGCCGGGGGGTCTGGTGTGGGCAGGAGGGTGATATGGCTGTGCAGACAGCTGGTGGAGCTGGGGCCTTAGCAGGGATGGGCATGGAAAAGGAGCAGGGTGGCCACAGTTGATTTTAAATAGTTCTGGTGTGTGGCCTGGAAGTTCCCGGAAGGCAGCTGTGAGCTTGGTCCTCGCCAGGAAGCGCGTAGTCTCCCGACAGCTGCAGCTGGCCTCCCACTGGCTGGCCATATGTCCCTGTCTAGGGGTCAGACAGGTGGGGACAGAGAGCTGTAAGGGCGGGAGGGTCGCTGGACCTATACTCTCTCCTTCCTGCTGTCTGCCAGGTGGGAAGAGGAGTACACAGTGCGGATCCAGCTGCAAGAGCGCGTGAACGAGCTCCAGGAGGTGAGGGTGGCTGCCCCACTGCCCCTGCTTCCCTCGCTTTGGTGCTGCCTCCCTGTCCTTCCTCGTGTCCTGATGTCAGGGTTTCCTCCCGACTGCAGGAGGCGCAAGAGGCTGACGCCTGCCAAGAGGAGCTGGCCATGAAGGTGGAGCAGTTGAAAGCTGAGCTGGTGGTCTTCAAGGGGCTCATGAGCAATGTGAGTCCAACTCTGGCCCATCAGCGTCCTGTTTGCTGCCCCTCCCCTCATTTGCCGTTCCTCTAGTTGTTTCTCCCATGCCACCCTCTAACTTGGGACAAAAAGGAACAAAAGCCTCGGGTTGTGTCACGGGTGGTATGGCCCCATCCCTGCCAGCTGTTGTGAACAAATGCAGCCCTGGGGCAGCTGCCTGGCTCCCAAGTCACCTCTGCAGCTTGTTAGTTGAGTTAGCTCTGGGCCAGCTCCTTCCCTGCCCACGTGCAAGGCCACTGAGTCCCCTGCGAAACAGTTGTGAGGACGGCGATACACATGGGACACTGCATAGCGCTGATAAGCATTAGCTGTTGTTGTTACTATTATGGCACTTTGTCCACTCTTACAATGCCCAGTGTCTCCTTTCTGTGAGGACTGAAGTTATAGGAGAGGCAGGACTGTAGTTGGTCCAGGGAGCCCCTGCCTATCCCAGGCCCTGAGCTGTGCTCTTAGAGTTCATGTCTGGCTGGGGCTGTAGGGAGGCCCCACAGGGAAAGGAAAAGGGCTTGCTTGCATTCTTTTTCTTTCTCTTTCTCTCTCTCAGCTTTTTGAGGCAAGGTCTTGCTATATAAATTAAGCTGGCCTTGAACTCACTTATGGAGCCCACGGTGTCCTCGAACTTAAGGCTATCCTCCTGCCTCAGCCTCCTGAGTGCTGGATTATAGGTCTGCATCGCCACAGCCAGATTGGGAAAAGGGAGCCAGGGACTTTGTGGAGGAGGTGGAGGGCATGATGGGAAGGAAGAGGATCTTGCCAAGGCCTTAGTAGGGTACTAGGTCTCTCCTTACTTTCTGCTTTGCTCCCTGGGCAGAACCTATCAGAGCTGGACACTAAGATCCAGGAGAAGGCCATGAAGGTAGATATGGACATCTGCCGCCGAATTGACATCACTGCCAAGCTGTGTGACCTGGCTCAGCAGCGCAACTGTGAGGACATGATCCAGATGTTCCAGGTGAGAGGCCTGGGCCGCCCTCGCTCTCGGAGCAGGGCTAGGATGGGGAGAAGCTTCCACTGTGGCCACTTTGAGGTGGCTTTGCCCTTCCTGGGACTTCTGGGGCCCCCAGTGGGACTGGGCTGCGGGGCAAAGAGCAGCCTCAGGAGAGAAGTTTCGGAAGCCATCTCTAACTCCATCTCCCCCTCCCTCTCTCTCTCCTCTGTCTGCTTCTCTTCTCTTCCTTTCATCTTTCTTGCTTTCTCCGTAGAAGAAGCTGGTTAGTTTGATCTCTGCAAGCTTACCAATGTCCCCGTCCCAGTCTCTGAGCCACCCACTGCTGGGCCGCTCTCCAGTGCAGACTTCTCCTCTCTGTGTTCCCTGCTCCTCTCTCAGTTTTCGATCTTCTCCCTTCACTTCGTTTCTTCCTCGCCCTTCTCCCCCTCGCTGCCTAGATCTGGATGCGAGTCAAGTACTCCTCTGTAGACACCAAATCCTCAGCCTACGGCTTTCCTTTTAGTTGAATTCTTTCTGATGAAAGACTTCTTTTTAGAGAAAACGCTTCCTCTTTAGCCATCAGACACCTCAGAGTGTGATCACAGCAGGGCATCTCACCCCTTATCTTACTGCTTTATTTTCTTTCTCTCTCCCTCTTCCTTCTGTCTGCAGCCCTTCCCATCTGTGTGTGTCTGCCCGTTTCCCGGTGACTTCGCTGTTTCTGTTCCTGTCGTTGTAACTGTGTCTCTTCTGTCTGTCCCCCTTCCCGCTGGCTCGCGCTGTCCCGCCCGCCCTCTCCCCCATGCACCCGGCCTCGGCTCTGTAGTCTCTGCACTTGTCTCCCATTAAGGTCCCATCCATGGGGGGGCGGAAGCGGGAGCGCAAGGCTGCTGTCGAGGAGGACACCTCCGTATCAGAGAGTGACGGGCCCCGCCAGCCCGATGGGGAGGAGGAGGAGAGCACGGCCCTCAGCATCAACGAGGAGATGCAGCGCATGCTCAACCAGCTGTGAGTCCCACAGGCCGCCCGCCCCCCGAGGCCGGCTCCCCACTCCCCACCGACACGGGTTCCTGTCTCCAGGAGGGAGTATGATTTTGAGGACGACTGTGACAGCCTGACTTGGGAGGAGACTGAGGAGACCCTGCTGCTGTGGGAGGATTTCTCAGGCTATGCCATGGCAGCGGCAGAGGCCCAGGGAGAGGTAACCACCCCTCCTGCCTCAGGCCTCTCAGCCCGAGCCCTGCCTGGCCCCTCCTTGCTCTGTCTCCCTGTGTGGCTTCCCTCTGCTCCCCATGTCTCCTTTCTCTGTGCTTTCCTATTCTTCCTGCAGCCCTCTAATCTGACCTTCTCTCTCCCCATTGGCCCCCTCCACTTGGCCTTTCTGCTCCAGCAGCAAGAAGACAGCCTGGAGAAGGTGATTAAAGATACCGAGTCCCTGTTCAAAACCCGGGAGAAGGAGTATCAGGAAACCATCGACCAGATAGAGGTAAGGGTGTGTGCTGGTGCCGAGGGGCCCTGTCCCCAGAGGTCACCAGCCAGGCTGCAGGTGTGCTGGCTCCTGCCTTTTCTGTCACCAGGGAGGAGTCACTCTGGCACTCCCCCTGGTCCTTGAGACCTTGGGCTCTGGAGGCAGAGGGATGTGGGTTCGAGTCTCAGCTCTGTCACTTCCCACTGCTCAATTTGTTTTTTTTTTTTGGTTTTTCTCTGGTCCCGGGAATGGAACTCACGACCTTGCGCTTGCCAGGCAGGCGCTTTGCCGCTGAGCTAAATCCCCAGCCCCCCCACTGCTCAATTTGGAACAACGTACGTGTGCCCTCTAAGCCTGTGTATCTTTTTGTCAAATGCAGATCGAGCACCCCACCCCTGTGTTTAGAAGACCTGTGTGCTTTTTTTGTGTGTGTCTTTTTTTTTTTTTTTTTTTACAGGGTCTCACTATGCAGTTCACGCTGGCCTTGAGCTCACTTTGTAGCCCAGGCTGGCCTCGAACTTGCAAGAATCCTCCTGTCTCAGCCTCCCGAGGGCTGGGATTACAGGTTTGTGTCACCACGCCTGGGTGATACTTGTGTGCTTAGTGTGGGCTCTGCCTGCAGTCAAGCACCCCACTAATGCCAGCAGCATGGTGGCACTCAGGCATGGCCTCCCGAGTCCTCAGCTGGGCATCTGAGCTTGAGGGGGATCTAGTCTTGGGCACCCTCAGGGTCTGGAGTGGTAGGAGGGTTTGTGCAGCCGCAGAGTGCAGGGCCCCTGGCTGGAGGATTGGATGGGCCTCTGAATGTCCTGCCTGGGTGTGAGGGGACTGTGACAGGGACACGTGTGGGACTGAGGCAGGAGACCTCTGCCGCATGACTGCTACCCCAGCTCGTGGGACAGATTGAGATGCCTGTCGTGCTTACTCTGCTGCATCGGAGGAGGAGGCTGAGCAATTCTTTGCCTGTATTTTCATTCTGCCATCAGGAATCAAATGGCCCTGCTCTTCTGAGCAGAGCTGTTTTTGTTTTTGGCCCAGGCAAACAAATGCTAAGTTCCAGAGGCACAGCCAGCATTCTCCTGCTAGCTGAGGCCATTGGGAAGAGCAATGATTTAAGGTTCTGTGTCCCTACTGTGCCTTCCACCTGGCAGAGATCTGGGGCTGCATCTCTGGCTCAAAACATGGCCTGGCTGGGTGTGGTGGCTTATGCCTGTAATCCCAGCACTTGGGAGGCTGAGGCAGGAGGATTGTTGCAAGTTCGAGATCAGCCTGGGCTACAAAGTGAGCTCAAGGCCAGCCTGAACTGTATAGCGAGACCCTGTCTCAAAAAGACAAAAAAACCCCAGCCAACCAAACAAACAAAAACATGGCCTGTTGTGGTGGTGCATGCCTGTGATCTCAGCACCCTGGGAGACTGAGGCAGGAGGATCACAAGTTTGAGCCCAGCCTGGGCAATTTAGTGACTCATTGAGACTCTGTCTCAAGAATACAGGGAAGGCCTGGGGATGTAACTCAGCACAGAGCAGAGGGATGTAACCTGGCTCAATCTCCCACACCCCTCCATGGAAATCTGGTAGAAAATACTGGGAGGAAACATCCCTTCAGACTCTTCTGAGCCACCTAACCCCTCCTCACTCTACAGACTGAGGTGAGGGGCAGGCTTGGGGAGCAGGCTGGGTGGCCTCAGGTTCCGTTACCTTTGTGACCTTTGATCTCTCAGGGTCACTGAGATGGGTGTCCCACTTGTGGGTGGCAAAGCTGAGGCCCAGAGCAGGAGAGGAGGAGGAGAGGGAAGGAGTGCGCCTCTGCACCCTACCCAGGTCTGGAGATACTGAGGATGTCATCCTCCTACTTCACTCCTGCCTTAAGAGTGAATCAGAGGGATGTACAGATAGGTAGAGACCAGTCCTGTATTTATTTTTTATAGCACCAGGGGCCAAACCCATAGATGCTCTACCACTCAGCTGCATCCCTTTTTTATTTTGAGATAGGTCTTGCCCACGTAGGACTTGAATTTGTGATCGTCCTGCCTCAGCCTTCTCAGTAGGTGGGATTACAGTCATGCACCACTGCACCTGGTTTAGCCCTATGTTTTGATAGAGTATTTTTGCTTTACTTCCTTCTTCCTTGTCCCCCAAATGATGGTTTCCAGCCCCCTCTGCTGTGCTTTCCCTGAAGAGGAGGAGGAGAGGCTGGGGCAGCTGATCTGAGCGGGTGCTGCCAGCATTGCTGCTGCGCCAACAGGCGTGCCCTTCAGGCCGTCCTCACTGCACCCTCCCACCTGGCCAGCTGCCACCTAACCCTGAACGCCACTGTCCTGGCCACCCCTTTGTCGGGTCCTGCGACCCAGCTCATTCTTCCGGTCCCCAGCGCCTCTCCGGTCAACTCTAATTAGTTCTGGGTGGTTTCTCCTGCCTAGTTCACATCGTTCTGGCAAACTTTGCTTCCCCTTCTCTTTGCTCTCAAGCACTCAAGCACATCGCCTCCCGGCAGTTGGCTTCTCTGGATTCTCATCCTCCTGGCCCCTGGCCTTTGTGCCCAAAACAAAGACAAGCAGTGGACTGATTGTCTGTGGCCGAGATCCCTTCTCCCCTTAGCCCTGCCTCCCCTCTGCCTTGGAGTCTTCTGGCTGCAGAGTCAGCTCTGGCGCGGAGTGTTCTGCCCTGTCCTGAGCCCCGCGCTTTCCTGCAAAGACGTGCAGTCAGCCCGCATCTGCCATTCTGAGTGTTGGGGTGGCTCATGAGAGGAAATGCAGGGGGCAGTGGGGAACGAGCCTTTGTCTTCTTCAGCACTGGGGACTGAACCCAGGGAGTGGCGAGCTACATTCCTAGCCCTTTTAAAATTTTTTATTTTTTAAAGAGCTTTTTTAGTTTGAGGCAGGGTCTCACTAAGTTGCCCAGCCTGGGCTCAGACATGTATTCCTCTGCCCTCGGTGCCCCCAGTGTGGCCAGGATCACAGGTGTGCGCCACAGGCTCAGCAGAAGGAGCCTTTTTTGCCAGCAGCCACTTCCCTGTTGCTGTAAGCCTTGAGTTGCTTCAGAGGTGCTGAGTTAGTTCCCTGGCGGAGTGCTTGGTGTGCAGAGAGGAGTAAGACCTCTGCCAGCCCTCAGTGGCGCACATGGCAGGGCCAGCATGATGTGGGAAGTAAGGGGTGAGCCAGGCTGGCCCTGGGGACCAGGAGGAGAAACAGGGTGTCCATAGGCGCTGCCTGTGCAGTATAGAGTGCTGACCACCCTGTCTGCCCACCCAGCATTTTTCTCTTGTTGCCCTTAGGCCTGCAGCCTGTGCCCTTGCTTTGCTCTAGACAGCTTCTCAGGAAAGGGGCCTTGAGTGTGGCCCAGTGCTGAGCACCTGCCTGGTGTGCATGAAGCCCCAGGTTCTATCCCCATCACAGAAAGCAAAGCGAGCAAGAAGGGAAAGAAGTTTCCCAGGAACACCGGGGACATATGTAGTACATTTGGTGCTTTCTGCCTCAGGTTAGGTTGATTGATTCTTTGTGGTGCTAGGGATTGAACTCAGCCTTTACACTGAGTTACACCCTCACCCGCTTTTTCTTTTTTTTCTTTTTTTTTTTTTTTTAGACAGGGTCTCGCTATGCAGTTCAGGCTGGCCTTGAGTGCACTTTTTTTGGTTTTTCTCCGGTACCAGGAACCGAACTCATGACCTCGCGCCTGCCAGGCAGGCGCTTTTGCCACTGAGCTAAATCCCCAGCCCCCTCGCTTTTTCATTTTTTATTTTGAGATAGGGTCTTTCTAAGTTTCTGGGCTCGAATTTGCTATCTTCCTGGCTTAGCCTCCCAGAGTTCTGAGATTCTTGATGTGAGCCATGATTCCTGGCTTTGATTTCTTTTTAAGTCTGAGCTTTCAACCGTGGCCACCTGGGCCCCACCAGTGTTCTCGGTGTCAGCTTAGTGTCATGGCTGGGGGAGTGGAGTCATGCAGCCCCTCCTGGCCCAGGCCTGTTAACCTGGTGGCCTCCCACCCCTCTGCAGCTGGAGCTGGCCACCGCCAAGAACGATATGAACCGGCACCTGCACGAGTACATGGAGATGTGCAGCATGAAGCGTGGCCTGGATGTGCAGATGGAGACCTGCCGCCGGCTCATCACCCAGTCGGGGGACCGGTAAGCCCTGCCCCCGGGGAATGCGAAGGCACAGAAGCAGAGCCTCTCTGGCCCTTGGCAGGGACAAGCACTTCTAGATGGGCCCCCCCCCGGGAGTCTCCAGGTGCCTGCCCCAGGCCAGCAACTTTTCTCCCACTCTGGACAGCTGATGACATCTCCCCGTGCCACCAACCCTGGGGCTTCTCCTGGCTAGAGGGAGGTGGCTCCAACACAGGCAAGGGTCAGATGGGGTCCTAATTTTCTCAAGTCAGGGGCATGATTTGTGAATCTGATCCTAGGTAGTTATACCTCAACTGCAGAGTACATTTAAAAAATATAAAAAGTACAAACAGCTGCCACACTGGTACGTCTATAGTTCTGCCCACTCAGGAGGCTCATATCATTTCAGTGCAGAAGTTCAAGGCTGGCCTGGGCAGCATAGTGAGACCTAGCTTGAAAAATTAGAGGGAGATATGGCTGAGCGCTAGTCTGTGTAATATACTTGTGTTGAGGCAGCATCTCTCACGCTGTGATTTGGACAGTCCCGACTTCTGAGCTTCTCAGCCCTCAGTATAGGATTGGGACCGTTTTCCCTTCAGAGGGTGGGGACCAGGACTCTGTCTCTGCCCCAACTTCCCTCCTGCATCTGCCATACCTGGGTGTTACCTACCTGCCTGCTAAAGGATGTGCCCAAGGGAGAGGGCTTCCTGCCTGTGGCCCTGATGAGTGACAACTGGTGTTTTTTTCTAGAAAGTCTCCTGCTTTCACTGCGGTCCCGCCTAGCGACCCGCCGCCGCCAAGCGAGACTGAGGACTCCGATCGAGATGTCTCATCTGACAGCTCCATGAGATAGGGCCCAACTGTGGCAGGGCTTCCTGACTCCAGCCTAGAGGGCAAGGGCGAGAGGGGACACTCACTTGTGTACCAGAGCCAGGCCTGGCTCTGGGGCTTTTCCCTTCCTCACTCTGTCCTGGGCCTCCCCAGGGTCATGAGGTGTCTGGAGCTAGGTTGGCTCACCCTTCCTGGTGGCTCCTGCCTGCGTGGGTGTCTGCTACTTCCCTGTCTTTAAAAGCTGTGTCCTTGCCATCTCCATTGTGTAAGGAATGTGTACTGGGTCCTGCCCCCTACTCCAGGTCTGGACCAGCTGTCTTTGGTTTTTGTTCCAGTGCAGACAGTGGCCCAGGCACTGGTGTGAAGCCTGTCAGCCAGAGGTTCCCTAAAGGCTTGTGCAAGGCTTGCACCCTTGTCAGGGTGAAGGGACGAGCTAGGCTGGACGCCCACACCTGCCACCTGTGGCCAGCCTTAAAGTCCAGGCCGGGTGCCGTATGCTGGGGTTTGGAAGCTCATGCTGGCCTCTGTCACTGCCGGGTGACAGAGGTGACACTGCACGTGGGTCTGCGCGTGCATGAGTGCTCAGGGTGTTCTCAAGTATCAGCTGCAGTCATGCCCTCCCCATGTCTCTCACTCACCCAAACCAATAGGCTGGGACAAACTTGGAGAACCAGGGGAGGCTCCTCCATGAGTACCTGCCTAGGAGGCTATGCAGAGCTGATGTTTGAATGGAATCCTTAACAATAATCAGTGTGGCGAGTATTTATTAACGTTTTGGTGTCAGTTGTTTCAAGCACTTTCTGACATTTAGCTAGACTCTTAACTGAGGTATGCACTATTTTACCCTGAAAAGCCAGGACAGTAAGTGGCAAGTGACTTCCCAAAACAAGGGAGCCTCCTGGTGGCAAAGGCCACAAGCTCTAAGCCTACTTCCCTCATCCAGGGCTGCAGTCACCCTAGTGCCACAGCTTGCTTAATAGGCATGCTTCTAGGCGCTTGCTCCTTTACCCAACCGGCCTGCTGTGTGCTGGAGCAGGGCACCGCAGTCCTGTTTTAACAGGTAAAGTGCACAGAGGTAAACAGCTTGCTCAAGACCCACACAGCTGCCTGCCCAGGATCGCAGGAAGAGTGGAGTTTGTGCTCCAGTTCCACGTAGCCTACTGCACTCCTTCAGAGGTCAGATGCCAAGTCGCAGTCCCGCAGCCAATCCCAAACCCCTCATTTCTGTCTGGATGCTAGGCAGGGCAACTTCCTGACAGGCAGCCAGGTAAGAGTTGTGTCCTGGGTTGGCAGTTTTCTGCAGTTTCCACAAAGTGCCCTTAGAGGATGGCACACAGATGGGGCCCACTGAGCATATCATCCCTGCCCCTGGTAAGCTGGTCTTTATCTTAACACTGGCCTGGCCTCCCTCCCCTGGCCCAGGCTAATAAACAGCAGACAGGAGAGCTGGGTTCAGTGGGCTTTATTGGTGGTGTGCAATGAGCCAGGGCTCCCTAGGCCCCGCCCCTTCTCCAGGGGGCCTGGGATGGAAGCTGTGAGGGGAGATTCTCAGTGTTGGGGCTGAGTGGGGCAGTGACTTCTACAGCAAGGCCTCTCCCTCTGGTCTCGCTGGGCTGTGGTGGGGGGCCGCTTACTCCTTGGAGGCCATGTGGACCATGAGGTCCACCACCCTGTTGCTGTAGCCGAACTCATTGTCATACCTGCAAGGTGAGTGGGGATGTCAGAAGCAGCTCCTCTGCACCAGCCACCACAGGTGCCAGAACCCAGGCCACTTTACGAGCCTTGTCTCCCTACCCATCCCAGCCACCTACCAGGAAATCAGCTTGACAAAGTGGTCATTGAGGGCAATGCCAGCCCCAGCGTCAAAGGTAGAAGAGTGGGTGTCACTGTTGAAGTCACAGGAGACAACCTGGGGAAGGGAGAAGGCTTGGTGAGGGAGGCCATCCCTCTTGAGGCACAGTGCAGGGACTGAGCTCCAGCCCCAGGAGTACCTGGTCCTCAGTGTAGCCCAGGATGCCTTTGAGGGGGCCTTCTGATGCCTGCTTTACCACCTTCTTGATGTCATCGTATTTGGCCTAATAGGGTAAGACCAAGGCAGATACTCAGAGACCAAGCCACCTCAGTCACAGGAAAAGCCTCAACCCACCGGAGCCTGCCTGACGTACCGCTTTCTCCAGGCGGCAGGTCAGATCCACCACTGACACGTTGGGAGTGGGCACGCGGAAGGCCATGCCCGTGAGTTTCCTGCAGACACAGGTGCTGTGAGCCACACCCCAGGCCTGTGCCCACCACCCGACTCCCCAGAGCAGCAGCCTCACCCGTTCAGCTCCGGGATGACCTTGCCCACAGCCTTAGCAGCGCCAGTGGACGCGGGGATGATGTTCTGGGCAGCCCCACGGCCGTCACGCCACAGCTTCCCAGAGGGGCCGTCCACAGTCTTCTGGGTGGCAGTGATGGCGTGGACTGTGGTCTGGAAAGTTAGGGAGTTGAGGCTCCACACAATGTCCCCACCCCGCCCCCACCCCAGGACAGGGACTCTGCACGCCGCATACCATGAGTCCCTCCACGATGCCAAAGTTGTCATGGATGACCTTGGCCAGCGGAGCTAAGCAGTTGGTGGTGCAGGAAGCATTGCTGCAAAGGGGGGGCAAGTTAGGGAGGCCCTGCAACTGGCAGTCATCACCACCCTCAGGCCCTGCTGCCAGCCCCAGCCCTGCCCGCTCACCTGACAATCTTGAGGGAGTTGTCATATTTCTCATGATTCACACCCATCACAAACATGGGGGCATCGGCAGAAGGGGCAGAGATGATGACCCTCTTGGCACCACCCTTCAAGTGAGCCTGCGACAAAGAGTTGCTTACAAACGCTGGCTTTTTGCTGGCTGTGCCACGCCCCAGGGTAGGGACCACTGTCTTTGAGCTTCAGACCACTTACCCCGGCCTTCTCCATGGTGGTAAAGACACCAGTGGACTCCACCACGTATTCAGCGCCAGCATCACCCCACTTGATGTTGGCGGGATCTCGCCTGTAAGAGGATTGAGTTCATGGGGGCACCCCACCCTGCTAGATGCCCCCCCAGGGCAGTTCCCCAGTGAGTCTTGCCCACTTACTCTTGGAAGATGGTGATGGCCTTGCCGTTGATGACAAGCTTCCCGTGCTCAGCCTTGACGGTGCCATGGAACTTGCCGTGGGTGGAATCATACTGGAACATGTAGACCTGGGGGCAGGGAGGTGTCAGAGGGCAGCTTCACAAGCAGCTCCTCCCCACAGCACTGAGCATGCACTCACCATGTAGTTGAGGTCAATGAAGGGGTCATTGATGGCCACAACATCCACTTTGCCAGAGTTAAAAGCAGCCCTGGTGACCAGGCGTCCAATACGGCCAAATCTGAGGAACACCAGAGGCAACAAGGCAATTAAAAGTGGGCGGAGAATTCTAAGTACATACAGGAGGGAGCACACACAGTGAGAAGCTCGGCTGACACCGCCTTCCAGGAAAGTTGTCCGGTACCCATGAGGGACTGGTTCTAGGACCAGAAGCCCCTTGTATACTAAAATCAGTGGATGCTGCTGCGAGTGTGTAGTGAATGCCTGTAATTCCAGCACTCATGAGACTGATGCAGGAAGATCATCCCAAGTGAGGCTGGCCTGAACCCTGAGACCCTGTCTTAGAAAAAAAACCCTAATGCTGCACTCTTCCTGTAGGTACTTTAAAATCATCCCGGGGTTGTTCCTAATACCTAAATGCCTACACATTACTTCAATTCATGTGGACTCAGCATAGTACTTGGTGGGCAAAAAATTCACATTCTGGGAACTTTCTAGAACTCCCTCTCCATTATTTTTTATCCAGTTGGCCGAATTCAGAACTGGATACAAGGGCCAACTGCACCGAATTTTCCCACCATGAGGTCTAATTTCTATCTTTCTTGAGCAATCCCACCAGGCCAGCCGGCTTCACACCATGGCCATAAAGTGGGGGCGCCTTTCCTTTTGAAGAGGTGGCCAGGCTCTAAGACTTCCTGGCCCCCAGTCATCCAGGGTCCTCTGAGAAGCAGCCCAGGGAGCCACTGCCAACCAAGCCTAGCTTGGCACAGTGTCTGACCCCCCCCCCCATGATCTGGCCAGGGAAGCCTGTTCTTGCCTGGCCGACTCCAGCTACACCTTCCTGGGCAACATCGACTCCTACTCAGCATCACCAGCTCAAAGGGCAGGAGTAAAGGTCACACTGACTGGACAGGGTAAGCCCACCCCTTCCCCCAAGTCCCTCCTCCACAAAGGAGAGGGGAAAGAGTTGGTTTCCAACTCCCTGATCTTTGGGCTCTCATTTGCTAAATACTTGTCCTTCCCGGTTTCGATCAGGAGAGGGAGCAACAGTGGGTGGGGGGCAGGGGGTGCTGCAGAGCAGGGCCCAGGCCCCCAGTTACAGAAAGGTCGGCGGCTATATTTAACCTCAGAGGAGGGCGGAGCGGGGAGATCTGGTTTCTGGAAGATGGGATGGGGAGAAGGGCAGGATTCCCGGGGCTCCCTGACACCTAATCCTCACAGTGACCTTTACGGTCCAACCTTTAGGGTTGGGTCAGCGCTGGGCTGGGATGGGACGGGGCAGAGAGCAGCCACTGCAAGAGAAGGGGCTGCTGGAGGCGCCGGAGCCATTTTGTGCTGTAAATTCTCTTTTCTAACCATGAGTCAGCTCCCCCCACTTGGCAAGGAGCCACGGCCACCACACCTCTGGGGGTGGGTGGACACTAAACGCTCCATAAACCTGCTTCTCTGATTTGTCTTAGAATAATCTAGAAAAAACGACACGACTGAGGTGTAATCAGGCGTGAGGCTAGTTCTAGAGACACTACGGCTAGAAGCTGGGTTCTCAGTCCAGCTCCTTGGAGCACCAGAACCGGTAAAGGAGGCTCCACCCTGCTGCGGGAGGAGGGTTAGTTACAGCAGGGGAGGAGGAAGGCAGGAGAGAAGGTTTCCTAACGGAGGTCCATTCATTTCCTTCCCCATTGCAACATGGCAGCCGGCAAAGCGGCAAACCCGGATGATGCGCAGGGCGCTCACCCCGCATTCCGGGTCCGCAGAGGTGGGGGAGGGGCTCCTCCAGGCACGTGATCCCACAGGGCGCGAAAGCAAAGAAAGAACCCCGGCCCCGGGCCTCAGGGCATAGATCTGCGGCCGACGCAGGGCCTCTCACGTCTATCTGGGGCGGGGCAGCTAGTCCCCGCAAGGGATTAGGGCAGCTCGTCCCCGCAAGGGCGAAGGGGCGGGAGGCTGGAGCAGCCGATACGAGGCCCCGCGGGGGCTTTCGCCGGTCTGAGCCGTGACCTTGAGCTCTCCTTCGGGCGGGAGTGCACCTCTGCATGTGACTGCAAAGCCCCGGGCCCGGCCACACCTGCAGACATAATGCGGCGGCCGCCGCCGCAGTCCCACTCTCACTCACCCGTTCACTCCGACCTTCACCATCGTGTCTGGATCGCGGCTGCGGGAGGGAGAGGGAGGTGAGCATCAGCGCGGCCCCTCCCCGGCCTCCATTCCCCCCGCGCATCCCAGCACGTTCCGGGCCCGCCGCCCGCTCCACCCGGCCTGGACCCGCTGCCAGACCCCAGCCCGCCCGCTGCGATCGCCCCGAGCCCCGCGGGGCCCTGTTTCTCCACCTGGCGCTGCTTCTCCACCTGGCGCAGATAGAAAAGAACGGCTACCGGCGGGCACGCAGGAGCAGAGAGCGCCGGCGCAGGCTGCAGCCTCCCTTTATAGCGGTAGGGCGGGGCGGGTTAACGGGGCCCCGCCCCGGCCGCTCGTCCAGTAGCGGCCCGCGGCGCCGAGGCCTGAGCTACGTGCGCCCGGAAAGCCCGGCGGCCCCTCCCCCCCGCCGGAGGAGCACGCAGCGGGCGTGTGGGCTCTGGGCCGAGGGGGAGGGGATGGCGCGCCGGGGCCACGGGCCCGAGGACGCCAGGGGGCCGGGGGTGTGCGGCTGCTGCGGGACTAAACGGGAGGACGGGGATCAGGGAAGGGGCCGCGAGCCGGGGCCGCCCGCCCTCTACTTTCTTTTCGCAACTGCGGGCGCAAAGCCGGGGATCTAGAACTGTTTTGGTAGTGACGGGATCCGCGGAAGAGAGGGCCCCGGAGGGACCTGCCCAGCCCCCACTTCCCGGCCCGCCCCTGGCTCCCAGCCTCCCCGGGCCCGGGCTGGCCACCGGGCGGCGGGGACCTGCACAAGGTCTCTTGGGCTGGGAATATAGCTCAGTGGCACATGCGCCTAACAAGCTCATGGTCCTGAGTTCGATTCCTAGTACCAAAAAACCAAAAACAAGACAAGGTCCCTCCGCACAAGGTCACGCTGTCCTGCAGCCCCGGCAGCCGGGAGCCCTGATCGCTGGATCGGACAAACCGGTCCCTGTGCACCAGCTGTCCCCACCGGGTGGGGCCAGGGCTGGGCAGGCTCACTGTCGGCGCTGGGCTGGCGGAGGTCCACCGGGAACCTTGAGGGATGCACGGCCGGCCCGGCTGACAGAGCCCTTTTGAGCCACTGCGCCGCTGGCGGCAGGCGGGGAGCGGGACGTGCAGGCGGAAGTCCCTCCCTGCGGGGACGTGCGGGCTGGCCCGGGAGTCAGGGACGCCCCTGCATTGTCCCCTACCGGGACAGGCGAGGGAGAATGCGGCGGCCGAGGGCACGGAGAGGTCTGGGCCGCGCGGCGGGCGTCCGTCCTACCCCTAGGACCGGGCCTGGGGCAGGGCTTGCCAGCTGAGGATGGAGGAGAGGCAGGCGAGCCGTCACAGGTGCAGGGCCGGGGGATCCTGGGCGCTTTGCTGGGCCAGCGTCACCTGATACCAGCCCCCTGCCCTTCTAGCTGAAAAGCCTGTGGCTAAGTTTAGCTGGCCTGGCCTTAACCTTTGCTTAAAAGGCAGGGAGCACATGAGGTGCTGCACCCCAGGCTCCAACTCCAGCTCCTTGCCCTCCCTCCTTGGGGCTCCAGAGCCAAGGCCTGTCCGAGTCTGGCAGTGGGCTGCGTGGCCGGTGCCCAGGCTTTGCGTGAGCAGCAGGAGCAGGAGCAGCCAAGCAAGCGCCCGATGATGAGGGGTGGGATCCTCAGCGCAGTGCAGATGAGCCTTGCCTTGCCTATGCTCCAGGCAGAGCCAGCGCGCCTGCCGTGCGCATCAGCCCTTTCCCTGCCCAGGGCCTGAGTAGCCCTCCGAAGTGCCATTCTGAGTAGCGCCACTGTCATTCCTTTGCCCCTCCCCCAGTCATTCCTCGTGACCCCCCCCCCCCACCAAAAGGCTGGAGCACTCCAGGCACAGTGTGCTAGTTGTCATGACAGCAAAGACACCAATGAGGTCCCTAGCACAGGCTCAGGCTGCCTCCTGTTGGGTGACTCAGCAGACTGAAGATGCATGTGGAGGGGCCTGCAGGAGGAGCTGGCCTCTTGCAGACCTGCAGGAGGTGAGGAGCCCTGGCCAGCGGAGGTGGGCTCCTGCAGGGAGATCCCATGCCAGGGCAGTGGCTGCTCTGGGATGGGAGCAGGGGACACGAGCAGGGCATGCGGAAGACGCCAGCACTCTATGTGCAAGTGTCTTGTGCACAAGGGAGCGGTGTGGGGAGCAGAGTGCAATGAGCTCTGCAGGCCTGGGTGCCTTGCTGAGGTCTGGGCTGCTGCAGGATGGAACAGACAGTGCAGGTGGCGTCCAAAAGTGTATAAAAACATTTATTCAGTAGAAATAAGGAGACTGGCAAACCACTACTGCACAGTGAGAGCAGCTCTGATCGGTTTAGAAGGAGCTTGTTAAAGGGCAATGCCTCGAATTTTAAAGACACAGTTAATAAAAACAAGGAGACAGGCAAGTAAGTATTTACAGGGAGTGGAACCCGGGTCCAGGTCACCCATGGACCTTGCACAGCAGGCATGGGGCGGGCAGCCGGCTGCTTAGGACCTGGGCCTGCGGGCAGAGGCTCTGCGGATGGGTGTTGTTTTCCTGGGTGTCTCATCTTCTGTCATCTCGGCTGAAAGCTCTATTCAGAGAATCACAGAAACAGAAAAAGCTGAGTCACAAAGATGGTGACAGACTGATCTGGGAAGAAACGGAACAGGAGTGCACCACACAGAACCAGGACCACCTGTGCAGGGCGGCGGGGCAGGGAGAATGTGCCCCCCTGTGCCTGTGCCTGCAGAGGGTGCCTACCTTCCCCACTGGACTCATCGTCACTTGAGAAGACAATCTTGGGTTTCTTCTTGGTGCGCTGCTGAGTGCGTGGAAGCCGACGGGTGGTGCGGCGGAGCTCGGGTGTGAGGAAGTCACTGTCGGAGCCTACAGACGCCACAGGCTGCCACCCTGAGCCTGGAAAAGGCAGAGCATGGTTAAAGACCTGAGTGAGGCTTGCTGAAGGCCGCCGGGCCCTACACCCGGGCCCTACACACCACGGTGCCTGCACCTGTGTGAGGCTTCTCCACCGGGGCGGCTCTCTGGCTTCGGTGCTCAGGCGCCTCTGTAGCGTCCAGGCCTCGTGTGTGACAGGCGCGGAGCTTCTGCTCAAACTCGTCGATTGTAGCCTGGAGGGAGAGAAGAAGGAGGGCAGGCCAGAAACATTGTTATTTCTATGTTTAAAAAGAAACAGAGTCATAAAAGACAGGGAAGAACCTTAAATGTTATTGCTAAGAATTGGAGGCAGAGGACCTGGTCTTCCAGTGGCCACTGTAATGAGGCTGGGGACATGCGCAGGGGCGGCTGGGGACAGTGGCTGGGGATGGAGCCAGTGCAGACCACACCAGGGTCCCTGCGCAGCTCACCCTGCCCTCAGGCTTGGCCCCACGCCGCAGCTTGCCCACAGCAGCCAAGAAAGCACTGAAGATGGACTCATCTGACAGTTTGTCTCCAAAGCAGTTGAAGTTGTCAAGCATCTTGTGGAGGCCTCGCTCCGTAAGGGGCAGCTGCGACACACAGTAGGCCAGGTCCCGGTGCTGCCGATCTGTCCTGCAATGGGGTGGGGCTTTGTGAGGAGTGGCTCTGCTCAGCTTGGCTGGGCTTGCCCTTCCTCATCCTCCCCATCACTTACATCCCTTCCAGGGAGCTCTGACTCTCTCCCCACAGGGCACGTAAGCTTACCGGGCAGTGCGGAAGCGCTGGCACAGCTTCTCCACCAGGCTCTCGTTTTGCTTGTCCTTGGTGATGTAGGCGAGGAGCTGCCTGTGGGAGGAGGTGAGCGTGGGGTCAGCCAGGCCCAGCTGGCTCCTCCTTGCCCACTGCCACCTGCCTGGCTCCTGGCACCATTCTTCTGGCCTGGCCTTAGCAGAGTGCTTCCAGCACAGACCTGAGGGAAACCTACCCCTGTCACTCTGACTGGGCATGGAAGTACCACGAACAGCTGCTGCTCAGCAAGTAGGACCATGTGCCCAGCACCGTGCTAGGAGCTTATCTACTATTCTCAGGAGCTACGGGGCAGGCTGTGTGTAAGCCTCACCACACATAGGAGGAAATGGGCACAGAGGGTCAAGTTATTGCTAAAGGCCACACAGCTAGAGAGGAGCAGGGCTGGGGCTGGAGATGTGGCTCAGTGGGAGGGTACAACAAACAAGTGGAACTGGAATAGAAAAATGAGTTGTTGGATTCCTAAGCCTGTGCTCTAGCGGAGAAATGTGGCCCCAGGAAGCTTACTTCATGATGGTGCGGAAAGGCTCCTCCTCCACCCCACCCTCGGGGTCTGACAGGCGGCTGATGATGTCCGGGAGGAGGTTGTAGATTGCATTGCCCTGTCGGGGAGAGGAAAGGTCACACTAAGGCAGGGGACTCCGGTACTCCTTCAGTACTGGGCAAGTCCCCGGCCCTCACCTTGTGGGCGAGCTCATTGAAGAAGTTCCTGGCCAGCGCAGCAATCTGAGGCTCAGGGTCGACAAGCAGCACGGCCATCTCGCTCACCTGGCCCTTGACCTTCACCATGTCCTTCAGGATCAGGTGGGTCATCACCAGCCCAGCTGTCTTCCGCACCTGCTTAGCTGGATCCCGGAGGCTACAAATGAAAGCTCAGGGACTAAGGATATAGCTCAGCGGCATAAGCGCCTGGTTGGCAAGCTCGAGATCATGAGTTCAATCCCCGGTACCGCCAAAAAAAAAAAAAAAGAAAAGAAATGAAAGCTCAGGTTTCTGTGCCCCAGACCTGGGCCACACCCTAGAATTGGTAGGGTGGGGCCTGGCAGGGATCCCCACCTCACAGGGCATCTCTCCAGAAGCAGGGAGGGCTCTGTCCAGAGGTGAAAGCTGAGGTGGGGAAAGAGGTGAAGCTTCTGTTTCTCTAGGTAACTCTGAGCCAGTGCCTGTGCAGGGCACATCCAGCAGATGTTGATAGTGATGCCCGTAGGAGAGTCTCATGGGTCTCGCACTGACCTCAGCCCCTTGGAACAAGCTCAAGGGGTCCTCACCGAGCGTACAGATGAGGCGTCCAGGGGTCCACCAGGTTGGGGAAGCGGATGGCCAGATCCCCGGTGGCAACCATGAGGTTGGAGCGGACAGTGGGGAGCGATGACTTCTCTAGCATGGTGAACAGAAGACGGAGCTGGGAGTCGCAGAAGGTGGTGCTGGAGGGAAGGAGAGGCTCAGCAGGAAAGCTGTCACCCTCGCCCCGCGGGAGGTAGCACCATGCCAGCCTACCTGATCATGCAGAACTTGCCGAGGGCTAGCGAGGCAGCTGCACAGAGGTCTGCGTTGCTGTACAGCCCAGGGTTGTTGCACACTTTAAGCAAAAGAGGAACAAAGGCAGCCAGTACCTGTTTGCCTGTTGGAAGAAGAGCTCTGTGTTCAAGACAGGTTACCTTGGCCAGGGAGCTCACGTAGCAATGTTTCCTTTTTTATTTGTTCTTACCCTCTAGCAGTTCCAGCTCACAGATGCCACGGATGAGCTCTGCCTCCGTGTCATCGGCAGTGGCTCCAGTCAGCCCCAGCTCCTCCTCCATGGTGGTCTCAGAGCCTGAGTTCTAAGTGAGCAGAAGCGACCCTTTGTTTTGGATGAACAGTTGTGAAGAAAGGTAAAGTGCACAGAAGTATTCATTCCCTTGTCCAAAGGACTGAAAACAGAAGTCCTCAAGTGGTCACATGTTATCTCAGCTACTCGGTAGCCTCAGGAGGATCACAAGTTTGAGCCCAGCATGGGCAATGTAGTAGAGGCCTGTCTCAAAATATAACAGGAAGGCCTAGGGATCAAGCTCAGAGGTACAGCACTTGCTAACCATGCACTAAGTCCTGGGTTTAATCCCCAGTACTACAAAAAAAGAAAGAATTCCTAAATTAAGCAGGAAAATAACTAGGTCCTCTGTATTTGTTTTTTAGTTGCCAAAGCAGGTGTCTCTAGTCCTCCTCTTAATTTGTCCTCAGAGAGTGTGATATACCATATGTCATAAACAGACAGGATCATGCCAGACAACGGCTCAAGGTCAACAGAGGGCCAGACTTTAGCCACTGGTGATGGCTCTATGTCTTATTTGTCTACAGGACACCTGTTTCTGGCCAGGTGCCCAGCCAATAGCAAAGGCTGATGGGAGGTGGGGGCGCGTCCATGGATGGACTATCCCATTCCTGTTCTTATCAGTCTCCCCCAGCAGAGCAGCAGTGCAGAGGCCGAGACCCACAGACGACCGTGCTCTGACCCGAGGTTCTGATTCTGAAACGAATCCCAAGGGCCCGGGCTGTGCGCCCCACACACCTTCTCCTTGGGCTCTTTGGTCTTGTGCGCCTGTTCCTCCTGAAGCACCCGGCGCCGACAGAGCTCTCCGCTCACTGCCTGCTCCAGGTGCACCAGCTGCTGCAGGGCAATGTCCCCGGCCAGCGACAGAAGGTGCATCAGGAGGAAGGTGGGGAGCATGGGCACGGTCTGCCCTGGTGGAGGGGAGGGAGGGAAGGAGACAGGGTCAGTCTGCTCATGCAACTGAGCTCCCCTTGTTCATGTGGCCCTCAAACTTGTGCAGCTGAGGCGAGAACTGGCTTAACTTCAGCTTGGACAAAACTGGGATGACGGGGCTGAGGGGCTGTAGAAAGTGCTAGTGGCAGTGGCTTTTCACCCTGGCCTGGCCCAGCAGCCTTGTCCACTTACTGGAGTCCTCCTGGCTGAAGCTCTTGTCCTCCAGCTTCTCCAGAGCCTGCCTGGCACAGCCCTGCAACATCTGGGCACAGATCACCTCGGGGCCCTCTGCCAGCTGGTAGGTGAGGCTCACTGCTGCCTCCTTGAATGGGATCCAGAGTGGGTCTGGGTGGGCAAAGCCTACACAGGAGGGGGAAGTTGCTCACCACAGGGCTTGGCCTGGCCTGGCCCAGCCCAGCCCGGCCTGCCCCAGGTCCTTTTGGATAGCTTACCTGCTGTGACCATGTCCCGGAGTCGCTCAAACAACCCATGTTCCTGAGGCAGCCTGAAGGGAGGGTGGCGTCTGCCCAAGGAAGGCTGTGGAGAAGGAACAAGGAAGACAGTATAGGGTGCCTGTAATGGGTGAGGACCCCTGCTTCCGGCCAGTGGCTGCTCCACCTACCTTCCTCCTGTCAGAGATGTTGGCGATGGCCTGGCACACCTGCTGGGCCAGCCTGTAATCTGGTGGAGACTTCCTGTCCAGCCCTATGCTCACCAGTGTGTCTAAGTTGCTTCCCACGATTTCTGGTTTTCCTCTAAGGGAAGAAAGCCACAGTCAAGGCAGTCCTGGATGGAACTCTGGGAAGTCAGTGCCACTGTGGGGTCTCCCAAGCCTGGGACACTGAGGGAGGCCCTGCTGCATGGGCATGGCCAGCCCTGCACGTGCTCCTGAACTTACTGCTACGAGGCAAGGGCTGCTCCTCTTTCTATTCAGGGCCAATGCCAAGCAGAACTCAGCGGGCCTGCTTGCTGCCATGGAAGAAGGGCACGCTTTGAACCTCTTGCCCTTCCCTCCCACCCACTTACTGCCTGCAGACCCAGCCTCACCGTGCCAGCATGCCCAGAAGCATGACAGAGGAACAGCGCTCCAGGGCAGAGCAGGGCACCTTCTCGGTGGCCCGCTCCCACAGCAGCTGAGTCACTGCCGGTTTCAACTCATCCTTCTGAACAAACTCACAGAGCTGAGGAGAAAAGAAAAAGAGGTCAGGCCCCTGAACAGGATTCTTCTTGGTCTACTTTGAAGACACTGGAGAACCTGGAATGAGTAAAAACAATATTCAGAACAGGAAAGGAAGGAGGAAGCCCACGTTGTAAGATAGGGGCTTAGATGTGTCTCTCTTTCCTTTTCTCTCCTCCCTTTCTTCCCAGATGGGGTCTCACTATGTATCCCAGGCAGGCTGGGCTTGAACTCAAGATCCTCCTGCCTCAGCCTTCTGAGTGCTGGGATTATAGGCATGTGCCACCATACCTTCTCTTTTTCTTTTTGTGGCTGTGCTGGGGATATGGTGGCCCAGGGCCTTCTGTCTGCTAGGCTAGCTGCACCACTAGGCTACACTTCAGCCCTCCATTCTGACTTTGTCTTTAAAACGATACTAGCTAAAGTGACACATCAGAACTGATCTTCCCAAGTTCTGTTACGGCTTAGAACTAAAATATCCCCTGATGTCTCATGTTCAGAGGTGGGGCTTTTGGAAGGTGTCTTGATCATGGAGATGCTGTACTCACCCACTAATTTCTTTCTTTTTTTTTCCTCAAAGGAGGAAAGCTTTATTGTGACTCAGTTTGTGGAGGTTTCAGTGCATAGTTGGCTGGTGCCCAGGCAGGGTGGCATAGCAGAGTGGCCCAGTCAGGAAGCAGAGCTCACCCGCTAATGGTTTCATGGCTGGATGTGCGGTTAGGTGCCAGGGCCTCATGGAAGAGGCGGCTGCCTGGGATGTGACCCGGAAGGGCATATTCTTCTCCGCCTGTGCCTCCTTCCTGCTCGCTTGGCCCCTGGCCACCATACAGTGGGCAGTTTTCCTCACCATGCCTTTCCTACACTGGAGCCAGCAACCATGCACCGAACCCACTGAAACTGAGCCAAGTAAACCTCTCCTTGAAATTATGGAGGGGCCGGTATTTTGTCTGAGACACAGGAAAGCGGAATAATATGCATTCCATGTTGATCCCTAGTCCTGATTCCATTCTAAACCCTCAAACATTGTCTTGCCTTTTCTTTTTGCCAACTCTTAGTTACATAAGCTTTAAAAAATTTCAATCACCTCATCTTTTTATGACTCAGTCATTTAGTCTTATTTATCTGTCCTTTAAAAATTGTCTTCTAGTAAGTCCAACTCTGTAGTTATCCCTCTAAGCCCCCAGCCTCACCCTGTCATTGTACCTGTAGTAGCCTCCATAACCTTCCTGTCCTGTCCATAGCTCCAGTCAGCCAGCTTATAAGCTGCTGCTGGGTTGGTCCCTCGAACATTTGCCTCCTGCCCGGCCAGCGTTGCTGCTCATCACTTTGAGCTTTCCTACGCTTCCTGTAAGGCTCCTGTCCAACAGCCAGCCCGTGAGGCCTCGCGCAGGTGCCCGGCCAGGCGGTCTCCTTTTCCTCAGCAAGGGACTAGTGTAGGGTAGTAGTGCCCCTCCACAGACGCTAGCCATCAGTACTCCCGCCACTGTTTGTCCCCACAATACAAATTCGCCAAAGGAGACTTGCCTCACTGAAATGTGTGGACTCTGGTTAACAAGGTTCCAGGCCTAGGCTCTTGGAGGCACCCAGAAACCCTCACAATTCAGTGCCAACCTATATTCTCAGCTCTATTAATCTTCCCAGATAATAATTTTGAGCCAGAACATCAACTTTCATATTCTGCAACATATTCTGTCTTTCATAGGTTTCTGTCTGACATACTCTGCCTCTTGTCAAACTCTCAATCATACACATCTTTCCAGATGATGTGAGGTCCTGAGCATTTACAGAGCTTCCTTGACCACTGTTCCTCAGGCCTCTCTTTCCCACCACGCACAAGTGGAGCAGCTGGAACTAGCTGAGCTCCTCCACTTCTCCCCGAGGCTCACAGACATCTCAGTGTCGAGTGCAGAAAATGAACTCCACGGGGAGGCGAGGGCTAAGCAAGTTAATGTAAGTGAGGTGCTAAGAACGGCACTCGCCATATAAACACCACACGTTTTATTATTGCTATTAGTCATTACCTTGCCACTTATTTCTGGCACTTAATTACCTACATGCTATCTTTGTTCTAAAAATGTTTTGTGGTTTTGGCTATCACCTGGACTTCTGGCTCTTTAAGGTTGGGAGTATGAAAGTCTTACACTGCCTTTTGGGCCCGAGCAAATTACTGCATACACAGTAAATGTGCTTGCTGAGTGAAAAAAGAGAAAGTGAGAAGACTTACAATTTCCTCGAGACACTGGATGGTCCCAACCGAGGCATCCACCAGCAACAAGGACAGATTCTGAATCAAAGCCTGGGCCCTGGCTCTGTGGGAACAGCAGAGATCAGGGGACATCAGGAGACAGGCAAGGTGAGCTTGGCAACAGCGAGACTCCATGGCAGCATGGCACCTGAGCCCCCCTTACAGCCCTGTAATAGACCTATTGCCCGTGGAGTAGGAACTCCTCTGGAAAGATGCCCTCTTCCTTTAGGAGACCAGAAAAAAACAGAGAAAAACAGTCAAGGAAGGAGAAGAACCCACAGACCTGGCCGAGTCCCCTTTGGGGCTGAGGTAGAGCTGGCGGTAGGCATTCAGCACAGCTTCCCGGACACCAGGCTCCTTCGACCAGACGAGAGGCAGCATTCGGCGCACCCCAAACAGAGCCTGGGGTACCCCGAACTGGAACACCATCACGAAGAACTCAATCACCTCCTGTACCACTTGGAGGACAGACACACCTATCACTCACAGACTCAGCAAAACCCCAATGCTCAGGTAGAACCAGCCCCCTTTGCAGCAACATGTAAGCCAAGGCCTTCCTCACTGACTCCGTGAACATCAGCTCCTCCTATACTGCCTCATCGTGAAATACTACATACATCAAAATGCATAAGCTATAAAGGACAACACAGAGCAGTAAGTCAGGAAGAAACCTTGCCTTCCAAAGGAGCAGAAAGAGATCAGTAAACACGAACAGGAGTGGGTTTTCCCCTCCTAAGCCCCAGCCTTCCTGTGTGGGCCCAGCCTACCTGTAGTCGTGTTTTCATACATCATCTTGCTAATGATGCCGATGGCCTCTGAGATCTTCCGGGAGAAGCTGTAGGCATCCTGCAGGTACTGTACCAGCATCTCCTGCTTCACCAGCTCATCACTGCCCCCGCACCCCTCAGGCTCTGACACACTGGGGGTGTCTGTCGCAACAGTCTGTCCTGGGACCTTGCTCCCATTGCAGCCCTGAGTGGAAGCTGCTGGGCCTGGGAGTTAGGGAAGCACAGAGCAGTTTTTGCTGAAGGGTATACCGGGGAACCCAATGACTATTTCTTTCTAAAATGTGGAGGCATGAAATTAGAACCTATTCTCAAATATCTTGGTTCACTTTTCAAAAAAGACCTCTGAAGCTTCTCTAGTTTGGATAGCCAGTGTGTGAATGGGCCAGTCCCATTCCAGAGGAGAAGCTTGCCGAACCCCCGGCCTCCTTCAGCACTGAACTGGGTTAGCCGGCATATAGTGAATGCTCAATAAATACTAGCTGAGATGCTGTTGTTGACTGGAGGGGAAAGATTACCTTTGAAGATAATTCCTAAGAGGTTCAGGAACCTGGTCTCCTCCGACCCCTCTGGCTCCGTTTGCCTGAAGGGATCAGACTCCGGGAAGTGGCCTGTGGCTGCTCGAGCAAGAATGACGGCCTGCCTGAGGGAGGAGCAGCCTGTCACTAACGCAGCACCCCGAAGTGTGTCGCTGTGGCCTTCTTCAGGGCTTCACGGCCCCCTCAAGTTGCCAGACCCAATGCTCAGAGAAGAGCATTCTCAGGTTTATACAGCTGGGCACTGCCCACTAAGAGGAGCTCGATAGTCACCTTTCACCAGTCTTCAAAAGCTTCACTAAGACTTGCCCCTACCCTAAATGCTGGTTTACAGACTTGCCAAGTGAAACTGTGGAAACAAATATATTTTTAGCTACTGGTTATGTAGTGGCACATCTACACAATGGAATTCTGTGTCGGTATGTAGCTACAAAAAGAATGTCAGCTGGGTGTGGTGGTGCAGGCTTGTAATCCCAGCCCTCTGGGAGGCTGAGGCAGGAGGATTGCAAGTATAAGGGGCTTTTATTGCTAAGGCCACAAAAACACTGGGACAAATCTTTTCTTTATGATCAAGATTCCAATTATGTTGATTTGCAGACTAAGTTAATAGTAAGCAAACTCGACATTATTTCTTAGCTCACAGAATTTAGAATTACAAAGTCATTACAGAGAAAATGATCTAATCAATTTCTTGCTTTAGAGACATTGAGTTAAGCATCTGACATGAAATTATACATCTAAAATTCTGTTTACACTTACTTGTTTCTGTAAAGTAGAAAAGTGTATTTAATGTGGCCTGTGCCTCTGACACCATCACAGTGAAAACCTGCTGTCCACCTAGGGGCAGCATACCTAAGCACAGTTCATTCTAGAGAAACATTTGCTAAGTTCACAGAGGTTAACTTGAAATCCAGAGATCACCAGAGACTATTCCGTTCCTTCCCGTACTTGTATCTAGCTTTGGCCAGTAGCTGACGGATGTGTCCTTTCACTTCTTCTGCGGTCTCTGCAACAGCGCTTTCCTCAGGAATCTCCTCCTCCTCCTGGGGGTGCTCTAGAAGCTGCTGCAGGGTGGACTTCAACTCGGGCAGCATCGCTTCCCACTCCTCCTCGGGCTCCACCACTGCTGTCGAAGGAGAGCGGCTCAGTGTCATGGCTGAGGTTTTCACTACAGGAGGAGGCTGGTGGGGAGGCTCCGAGGGAGAACTACTCACAGGCAGCTGCTGCGCTCTGCCTCTGGGCCCTCATCTCTTGTAATTTCTGGGTTTCCTTCTGCAGTGGTCCAGCAAGGTCAGTGTCACTAAGCTAGCATGGTAAATGAACATCCAGTCACTAAGTGACATGCTCCCAACCTTTCTGTGTTTCATTCCTCCACTTTTGGGTGGGCCAAGTCCCCTTACCTTGCAGGAGAAGGGATTGTTGGCTAGGAAGCTGGCCAGCAGCTGGATGGCATTTTTGCACACGAGCACAGACTTGTCTGCCAGACGCCCCACGGCTAAGGCCACCACAGCCTGGAAGCGCGTCAGAGGGAGTGCCTGGGTGGGCCGAAGAGAAAGGTCCACTCATATCCCACACCACCCATCCTGTTCAAGATGACCCTGCCACACTTGCAACTCTCCATGGGATACAAAATATGTAAGCAGCACTCCTAGGAGTGGGGCAAGGAACACGACAGCTCTTAAATGGAGCCAGGCATCCTTGTCCTTGGTATGGAAGACTTCTACTAGTGGTACTAAACACCTAGTACCTCGCCTCCTCTTTGAGGCACGCCACCCCCTCACTCTGGCTGTATGGGGAGGAAGGCCAGGTCTCTATCGCACAGAAGGCCGCTCACCTTCTGCTGGACGATTCTGGTGAAGAGCTGTAAGACGCGGCTCCGGACAAAGGAGCTGACATCGTGGCCATGGGCCTGTAGGGTATCCAGAAACTGATCCCTGGTCTCTCGAGCTGCTTCCTCCAGGTGGTCACCGTGCAGAACCTGCAGCACCATCTCTGTCATGGCTGCCAGCACGGCATTGCGCATCATGTAATTCTAGGAGGGAGGAGAGAGCTTGGCACAAACCTCTGCACTCTCACATCACTGTTCCTCTCTCTGAACTCCTGTGTCTACCTAGAACAAGGCTGCCAGCCATGCTTGTGCCTAGCTATGACTTTTCTTCTCAAATGCCTATGTATTCAGGCCAAAGGTCACAGGAAAAAGTGGATCCCAGAGTGGACTTACTTGCTAAGAAATTACTGGAGAAAATAAACAAGAGCTGAACTGGATGTAGTGGCGTGCGCCTGTAATCCCAGCACTCCGAGGCAGGAGGACTGCCTGACTTCAAGGCCAGCCTGAACTACATAGCAAGACCCTATCTCAAAAGAAAAGAAAAGAAAAGAAAAGAAAAGAAAAGAAAAGAGAAGAGAAGAGAAGAGAAGAGAAGAGAAGAGAAAAGAAAAGAGGAGGGGAGGGGAGGGGAGGGAAAAGAAACAAGAGCCACCATTTTTTCTCTATAAGGGTAACCCCAGTAAGCATGGTGGTACAGGTTGAATACCCCTTATCTGATCCCTATCCCTTATGCTTAGGACTAGAATGCTTCAGATTTTTTTCATATTTTGGAATATTTGCACATACAAGGAGATATCTTGGGGAGGGGACCCAAGTTTAAACAAGAAATTCTTTTGTTTTTGATATACCTTATACATATAGCTGAAGGGAATCTTTTGAGATGGGGGTCTTGCTATCTTACCTACACTGGTCTCAAGGTCCTGGACATTTTTTTTTTTTTTTTTTTTTGAGATAAGCTTTTACTATGCAGTTCAGGCTGTCCTCGAACTTGCAGAGCTCCTCCTGCCTCAGCCTCCTGAGTGCTGGGATTACAGGTGTGCGCCACCATGCCCAGCTCCCAGCTCCAGGACTTACATAGTTTTCCTACCTCAGCCTTCCAAATACTGGGACTACTGGCTTGTATCACTGTGCCTGGCTCTGACTGGAAGCTTACATAACACTTTAAAGTTTCTGTGTGATACCAGGTTTTCTACTTGTGGTACCATGTTATACTTAAAAAGTATAAATTCTGGAGCACTCTGAATTTTGGAAATCACATCCACCTACCAATATATATTTGAGCAGTGTTTATTATGTCTTTTATCTGAGATTATAAGGCCTCTGATCTCTACAAATACACAACTCCTTTTCCTCTTACTCTCTGGGCTATCTCTGTCTGTAATATTCACCTAGACATACCCCACATCACTGTGAGAAGCAGGCAGATTGGGGATGACAGAGGACTGAAAAAAAAGGCACAGGTTGATTTGAGAGCAGGCAGTGTTTAGAGAAAGCAGGCAAGCCGCACAGCAGGAAGAAGCTTCACCCTGAGGGGTGCAGGGGACTTGGAATCAAAGCTGAGTCAGTCTCACTGACTGAAACTTTGAACTCACATCTCCCTTCCCAGACCTGCACAGAAAGGGCTCCTTACTCGGCGTGCTCCATTTGCTTCTTTGCAGAAGGAAAATGCCACAGGATAAACCTAGACAACCTGTCTTCTTGAGAAAGCTATTTTAAGAGAAAACCTTTTGAGCTGGGGATGAGTTCAGTTGTAAATTGTGTGTTTTGTGTGTGCAAGGCCCTGGGTTTGATCCTCAGTACATTAAAAAAAGAAAAAAAAAGCTGGGTGTGGTGGTGTATGTCTGTAATCCCAGCACTCAGGAAGCTGAGACAGGAAGATCGTTGAGAGTTTGACGCCAGCCTGGGCTACAAGTGAGTTCAAGGCCAGCCTGAACTAGTGAGACCCTGTCTCGAAAAGACAAAAAAAAAGTAAGAAAAATGTAAAGAACAAGCCTTTCAACACTGAACTTAAGCCCCTAGGAGAACTTCCCAGGCACCGCCCCCATCACCCACCTCTCCGTCCAGATGATCCAGCAGCATGCACATGCTAGAGAGCAGGGTTGCTGGGACCCGTTCTGCGAGCTCTGTCAGGAAACTGGCAAAGCCCTTGGCTCCCAGTGCATCCCGACTCAGCTCCTGAGGACACTTCTGTCCAATCTCTCTACACAGGGAAGGAAACACAGTTGTGGCAAAATAGTTTGACTACTTAGTTCTCAGCAAGGGAAGGAAAATTGGTATCAAATACATGAATAATCTCATGTGGCACAGAACGTGTTTCCAATCTCTCTTTATCCCTTCCCAAGGAAAAGCAACGATTAGAAATGTTGAGAAGGAACAGTCACCTTACAATCTCTCCCACGATGCTCTTCATTCCATAATCTGTCACCCAGAGACTCACAGCTGCCACCAGAACAGGTGCGAGGTGCTCAAAGTGCTGCAGCATCTGGATGATCTTCACAGTGGCACCTGCACAAGTTGGAAACATGGGGCATCGTGGACAAAACGCCATGCGTGGGGCAAAGCAGAGGCCCACTTACTGAGCATGTGGTTGTATCGTGTCAAGGCCACCCCCAGCAGGTGCGTCACGGCTTCCCGGGTGGGGCGGTTCCTCTGGTGAGTGATGGTGGGATTCTCCAGAAGGCGGTAGCAGCAGCCAGTAACCAAACTGAGAAGGATGGGATAATGAAACCGGCTGGGGGAAGGCGGAATGCAGCCCTGTGGTGTTCATTCTAACCCTGCTGGCCCCAGGGCAGAGCCCAGCCTTCTTTCGCTCTCCTACACAAGTTACTTTGGTGACTACAGATAGGTCCTCCTTCCTTTCAACCAGTTTTCATACTGACAGACAACCAAAGTATATGACAAAGGACAGGAAAAAGAAATCAATGACTTCTCATTGTGAAATATAATGGTCAGTTCAGTCCTTATAATAATAGACCTTTCAGCTGCAGCTGATCATTCACTTTGTCCTTTCAGCACATAATTCACTGACTTCCAGGATGTCAGACTCCCTTCTCACTTTCCTTGGCTGTGTCCTCATCTCTCCCTCTTACTGCTGGAGAGCCCTAGGTACTGCTTTCTTACTGATTTAGTGACCCAGTCAGTCTCATAACTTTTTTGAGGGGCGGGGAAACAGGATCTCACTATGTAGTTCAGGCTGGCCTTGAGCTCACGACAATCCTCCTGCCTCAGCCTCCTGAGTACTGGGATTGCAGGGCTGTGCCACCACACCCAGCCAGTCTCATAGCTTTAAATACCGTATGCTCTCGGATGTTCTCTGTAGCCCAGAACTCTTTTCCAAACTCCTGATGTGTATGTGTGATAGCCAATTCTGACAACTTTACTCAGACACAAGCACCGCAAACTTGCTAAGTCTAAAATAGATGTATGAACTTGTACCCACAGCTTTCTCCATACTAAGTTACCAGCAAGCCTATTCCAAATTTGTTCAGGGCAAGCCCCTTGACTGCACCTCTCATATGCCATGCCAAAATTTCTGGCAAATCCTGCAAGTTCTCCCTCAAGAAAAAAAGTACAGAATCAGCCACTCCCCGTCTGTACTGCTATTCCACGGTCCTGAGTTTTGGAACAGCCTTGAAACCGAACTCGTACTGCCCCATTCTCTCCAAAGTCACTCACAGCCAGGACAACCCTATGACGTGGAGTCAGGTCACCCCACTGCCCTGCTTGGGGGTTGCCCCATGGCAGCTGGAGACGTGCCAAAGTCACCGTGGTGGGCAGGGTGCTCTGCACTTTGGCTGCTCACTGTTCCCAGCCGCACAGCCTACCTCGCTCACCCTCTCTCAGCTGCAGTCTCTTGGGCCTCATCACTAGGACTGTACATGCTGGACACACCCTCCTCAGGGTCTCTGCCCTTGTCATCCATCCATCCATCCATCCATCTATCCATCTATCCATCTATCTATCTATCTATCTATCTATCATCCATCCATCCATCCATCCATCTATCCATCTATCTATCTATCTATCTATCTATCATCCATCCATCCATCCATCCATCCATCCATCCATCCATCCATCCATCCCAGGGACTGAAGCCTGCAGCCTTCACATTGATCTAGACTCTAGCCGTCTTTTAGTTTGAGACAGGGTCTTGGTAAATCACTAAATTGCCCAGGCTGAGCTTGAACTTACAACCCTCCTGCTTCAGCTTCCTAGAACACTGGGATTGCAGGTGTGTGCCACCACATCTGGCCCTCTAGATAGTCTTACAGTGCTCATCCCCCCACTGTGCCTCTGTGATCAAATGTCACCATCACTCACACAGCTGATTTAGCACAGCCCCTTTCCACCAAACTTCTCATTCCTATTTTGATACACAGTAACAAAAAGTAAAACACAGCACATATTTTACTTAGTTTAAAAATTGTCTTCCACTCTATAATATAATCTCCAAAAGGGCAAAACCTTTTGTTTCCAGAATCTATGATGACGCTCACTACATACCCAGGAGACTCTTCGTAAAACATCTTTTCATGAATATATAAATGGCCATTAGAGATGAGAAAGTAACATCAGGTTCTTACATTCCATTGTCTCCTTTCATGCTCTTATACTTCTGTGTATCACAGACAGAACTGAGGCATTAAGTATTTTGAAGGCTTATTTAAGATACGGAGCTTCTACTCCTCATGGCCTTTGTACTGAGTTACAACACCAGCCTCACCAGCCTTTTTTCTTAAGACAGGGTCTTGCTAAGTCACTAAATTTCCCAGGCTGGCTTGAATTTTCAATCCTCCTGCCTCAGCCTCTGAGAGTGCTGGGATTACAAGGCATGCACCACTATGCCTGGCTCCCAGCCCTTTTTTCTTAAATTTTGAGACATAATCTTGCTAAGCTGCCTAGGTTGGGCTCCAAGTTGCTATCCTCCTGCCTCAGCCTCCCAAGTTCTGAGCTTACAGGCAGGTGCCACCATGCCTGTCTTTGGCTCTAGATTATCTGCAGCCACGGTGACTACTCACCTGACAAATTCCTCTTCAATTACTGAATGGTTCCACAGGTGACGGATGTCCAACTGGAGAAGCTGTGTTAACAGCTGAAGAATTGGTTGTCTCTCTTCTTCCCAGTCAAAGCCATGGGCTGCTTTGCTCCGGGATTTCTTATTCTGAGAAAGAAACAAACAGTGGGTCAAGATCTGCCAATCTGTGTGCCCATACCATCCAGTTTAGGACAGGCTGAAGGTAACGTAGAAGCATTATAAGCTCTGAAATGTAGAAAAACGTCTGTAGAGAAGGGAATGTGACACTGTAAAGTACTTCCTCCTAAATCTTAATTGAGGACAGCGGTATTCACAGAATCACTGGATTCCCTTCTTTCCATCAATTCCCCTCTCCCCACTGTACAGTTAGCCAGGGACTCTAAATTACCTTCCCTCCCACATCCAGGTCCATGAGGCTTTTCTGGCTGGCCACCGTCTCGAAGGATTCCAAGAGGCGTATCAGGGCATAGCAGTTCATCTTGAGGGCATTGAGGTGGGCACTTCTATCTGATGCGCTCAGGGCTGCGTCATCAAGGATGGCTGGAAGCTCCTGGGAGTGGTGGGACACCACTGTAAAGGGCAGAATCTGGGAGTTGGTTTCATTCACTTTCTTTACACACCCCAATCTGAGAACACCCAGCAGTGAGGCCATCAGATTACCAAAGATCTATGTTTCATCTCTCAGTGGCCATAGAGAGCTAAGACCTTGGAGACCCTTGGCCCCAGCTGAAACCCGGAACATGCCCTGTTCCTACTCTCACTCCAGTCAGCACATTTCTCCCTGGCAACTGGAAGAGTCACCCCTACGAAAGAGAAGTGGGTTGAAAGTAGGAAAAAGTTCTTGTTGGTCTGGCCTTACAGTGGATGCACATAACTCTGTATCACCCACCAAGATTACAGACCATAACAGGTCCAGGGTCCCCAGGCTTAGTCAGGCCAACTGAATCACAACAGCCTTGGTATCATCATGTGGCTGATAAGATACAGGAGATATGACAAACACACAACATTTTCCATTCCCGACCCCCTGACCCATCAACACCTTTTGTCAGGAATTCCAGAGCATCTTCCTTGAGGCCAGGATCTATACTTCGAAAGTGACTATGAGGGAAAGAAAGTGTGGGGGTGAGACAGGAACCTGCAGAGCCCATTCCAACAGGTCAAAGCTAACTGAAGGGATCTAACATTTGAAAATACCTGTGAAATGCTCAACTGAATAACCCTGGTGGCAAGGTGGATAAATTCTCATGAGGAGAAATATCAGCACCCAGAACCAATTACCAGTGAATCTATAATTTGGGATTTCAAGACTAACATGCAAATTCAGGGCAAGGAACCACCAGTTCTGTTTAAGGCACTAGCTGGGTATTTTACTTACTGTAAAATGCTGTAGACAGTATCAAAGTGTTCCAGGATAGCCAGGGGCCCCTGAGCTCGGAAGGCAGCCTGAAATGCTACAAAGATGAAGGGAGAGAGGACTTTTTGGTCAATTCTATCCACATTGCATTGAATTGTCACGTTTCTTTAGTTTTCTGCCATCTTTGTCTTTCATGATCCTAACATTTTAAAAAAACTGACATTTTCTCCTAATTATATTGGAATTATGCATTTTTGGCAAGTCTTTCACAGAAAGGAAGTTTGTGTCTCTTAATCTATCATGACAAGAGGTACATATCAATGTCTTGTTACTGGTGATGTTAACTTGTATCACCCTGCAGTAACCGTCATGTCTCTCTATCCTGCATTATTAATAAGCACAGCCATCACTGTCTAATGACACTCAGCCAATGGTGGACTGCACATATGACAGTGGACCCATATGATTACACCACCTAGTAAGGCAGTACCCATTTTAGCTTGTGTAAGTACACTCTATGATGTCTGCACAATGATGAAATTGCCTAGACAAAGGCCTCACAAAGTACACTGTCCACAAGCTATGTGTACTGTATCTTATGGGAAAGTACTTTTCAGTTGGGTGTGGTGGTGTATGCCCTGTAATCCCAACACTTCAGGAGGCTGAGGCAGGAAGACTGCAAGTTTGAGTCCCATCTGAGCAACTTAGTGAGATGCTGTCTCAAAATAAAAAAGGGCTGGGGATGTAGCTCAGTGCAAAGGCCCTGGGTTCTACCCCCGGTACTGCAAAAAAGAATAAAAGAAGATAACTGGGAGTTCCTTCAGCATGGCCTGCATCCCCTGGAGATGCTCCCTGATGTTCTTCCATAATGCATTCCAGGCTCACTTGAACTTGCTCTGGCCTTCTCTGGCATCAACCATGCATGGACAATTAATGCCATCATAAAAGGGTGTGTAAGTTACTTCTCCCCTATTGTTAGACATGACATTTCTAATTTCTTCTAATAACAACCAATTTACTCTCCTGGCAAATCTGGGTTAAATCAGCTATCTGCTTATTTCATTCAACATAGCTATACAGATAAAAATGGGCTGAGACTAACATACAAACCTGCTGCCTCTATGCTCACTTAAACTTCTGACTACTCAGGAGGGTCTTCATAGTTCCTTGTAAGCCTTTACAAAGTCTCAGGTCTAAACTGGGCATGGTGGCATAAGCCTCTAATCCCAGCACTTTGGGAGGCTGAGGCAGGAGGATAACAAGGTCAAACCCAGAGTAGGCAATTCAGCAATTTAGCGAGGCTGTGTCTCAAAACAAACAAACAAAAAACCAGGCAGGGGATGTTGTTTAGTGCACAGGCCCTGGGTTCAATTCCCAGTACCACAAAACAAACAAATCTCTACTCTTAGGTCTGTTTACATTTATCTTGGCTGTCATTTCACAACTTTCCTCTGCTTCTACCATCGTGGCATCTACCCTGCTCACTCTCAGGTAAGGGCTACCTTTTTCTCTCACCGCAGAAAGAGAAGCACACAGCAGAACTCTCAACTGTTCCCAGTCCCACAGCACCATACCGCCTGCATCTCTGCCCCACCCTTGGCCTTCTTTTGCCACTGCTCAGCAACTGTCCCTATTCCAAAAAAGCCATCTCTTGCCTCTGCACACTAGATAGACCACATCTTCTCTTACTAAAGGATATTGCTCCTGGAATTGTTCCTCTTCTCTCCTGCAACACCAGGCTTCCCTCTCCCTTCTCTGTTCCTCTTTAGTATACCATGGATTGGGGGCTGGGGATTTAGCTCAGCGGCAAAAGCGCCTGCCTGGCATGCGCAAGGTCGTGAGTTCGGTTCCCGGTACCGGAGAAAAACCAAAAAAAAAAAAAAAAATAATAGTATACCATGGATCACCTGCCTGTCTGTTCTTGGTGTTACTGGGGGTTGAACCCAGCCAGGGCCACATGCATGCCAGGCAAGTTCTACCACTGACCTATATCCCCAGCTCTTTTTAAAAATTTTAGACAGTATCTTGCTGAATTGCCGAGGTTGGCCTTGAACTTGTGATCCTCTCAACTAGCTGAGATTATAGGCATGCACTATACCCTACTACAATCTAGCCTTCTTCTTCTTCTTCTTTTTGGTAGTACTAGGAATTGAACTCAGGGCCTTCGCACTGAGGTCCATTCTCAGACATTCTGTTTTGAGACAGAGTCTCACTAAGTTGCTAAGTTGCCCAGCCTGGGCCTCGAACCTGAAATCCATCTGCCTCAGCTACCACAGTCAGCTTGGTCTACTCATTTTATTTATTTATTTATTTATTTATTTATTTATTTATTTATTTATTTCGACACAGGGTCTCGCTATGCTAGCCTTGAGCTCATTTTGTAGCCTAGGCTGGTCTCAAACTCAAAACAATCCTCCTGCCTCAGCCTCCCAAGTGCTGGGATTACAGGATTGCACCACCATGCCCAGCTTCATATTGTCTACTCATTTTAAAAAAGAAATATTTACCTGAACTCACTGTCTCCAATCCCTCTCCTTCCATTTTCCTGTAAATGTATTCCTCTCAAGCTTTTGCACCCACTTCTCCTCTGAAGCAGCTTTTGTCAAGGTTATCAGATACCAGTACATCCTTAAATCTAGTAATTAATTTGCAGATAATCTCTCCTCTGTTTTTTTCTTCTTTCTATTTTAAAAACATTCTCTTGGCCAGGGGTGGTGGTGCATGCCTGTAATCCCAGCACTTGGGAGGCTGAGGCAGGAGGATTGTTTTGAGTTCAAGACCAGCCTGGGCTACAAAGTGAGCTCAAGGCCAGCCTGAACTGCATAGTGAGACCCTGTCTCAAAAAGATAAATAAATAAATAAAGACAACACATTCCCTCTCTTTTTTTTGAGACAAGGTCTTGCTATGTAGTACAGACTGGACTTGAACTTACTAGGTAGCCCAGGCTGGTCTTGATCTCACAGTGATCTTCCTCCCTCAGCCTCCAGAGTACTGGGATTATAGGCATGTGCCATCAACCCAGTGAAAGTGATCCTTTTAAAAGACAATGTCAGGCTGGGGATTTAGCTCAGTGGCACAGCGCCTGCTTGGCAAGTGCAAGGTCGTGAGTTCAATTCCTGGTACCAGAAAAAAATAAAATAAAATAAAAGACAATGTCACTTCTATGCTCAAAATTCCATGGATTTCTTGCTCACACTGAAATGTGTGACCTACAAAGATCTAGAGATCAGTGCTTATCAAATTGAATTTTCTGGGGATCTTAAAATATAGTTTTAGGCAGGCATGGGGACATGCCTATAATTCCAGCTTCTTGGGAAGCTGAGGCAGGATGATCACAAGTTTGAAGCCAGCCTGAGCAATTTAGTGAGACTGTGTCTCAAAATAAAATAAAAAAGCCTGGGGTATAGCTCAGTGGTAGACTGCTTGACTAGCAGATCCAAGACCCTGGGTTTAAATGTCAACACACAAAACAAATAAAACAAAACAAAACAAGAATCGGCATGTGTTTAAAACACTGGTTGTTGTAATAACTGATGAACAGCTTGCTGGTGCACATCCCAAGCTGCTGGTGATACATACAGCCACATGATACAGACAGAGTAGTACATCTGTGGGCACAAATGGTACTAGCCACCCACCTGTGAGCCTCCACACTGCTTTCTTCCTTGCCTACCTGATGATATATTCAGGGTTAGGGAGGCTCCTTGATGATAACCTCGATCAGGTTAGCGAATCTGGCCAATTTTATTTTTCTTACCAGCAATCAGAGGAATAAGCACCTGATCTGCTTCTGGCTGAGTCTATTGGGAGGCTTTCAAAAGCACAAGAGGAAAATGCCTTTTCCCACTTCTGGACATCAGAGCCAGAAGCTGCCATCTGACCCCTGTGCTGCAAGGGCCAAGCAGAGAGAGGCTCAAGTATATTACTGAGCTGCTGCACTGACTCAGCCTTCCTGTAGAGCTAACAATGAAGTATGTCATTATCCCTGTGTTTACAGATGAGGAAACTGAGGCACAGAGAGAATTAAGGGACTTGTTCAGGGTTCAAACAGTAGAACCAGGATTCAAAACCAGGCAGCCTCGCATAGTCTTTAGTGTACATATACTTCTCCAAAGCAACCAGATACAAACTGATTCCAAGAAGTATAGCGGCATTATGGAATCTCGTTAGTAATGCACGAGTTGTTTTAAGACATTTAGTTTTCAAAAGGTAACTGCAGGCTGGGGATATAGCTCAGCAGCATAAGAGCCTGCCTGGCTAGCACAAGGTCCTGAGTTCGATTCCCAGTACCAAAAAAAAAAAAATAACAAAAGGTAACTGCAGTATACCTACAGTCCTGTGCCACTTGTTTTTTCACGAGATGAAGGACCACATACATGAGATGAGGGTGGTTCCATCAGATCACAGTACAATGGAGCTGAGAACTGCTATCCCCTAGTGAGGTTTTAGCCCCTGTAACATTGCAGCACAGCCTGTTATTCATGTGTTTATAGTGAGGCTAGTGTAAATAAACCTACCACATTGCAAGCCTATAAAGTACAGCACATACCATTATACATAGTATATACTACTTGATAATAAATGACTGCTACTATTATTTTAGAGCACACTCTTTTTATTCTTTTCAGTGGTGGCGATTGAAACCAGGGCCTACACATGCTAGACAAGCACTCTGTTCCTGCACTGTATCTCCAGCCCTGGAGTGTGCTTCACAGAACCTGGGGGTGTGGTAGGCTTTATCAGCTAGGTTTGTGCAATCCTACTCCATGATGTAAAATGAAAAAAATCACCTAACAGGCTTACTGAAACACACACACATCTTCATCCTCTTTGTTAAGCGTTACATGACTATTTTATATGGTGTTGCAATTGTGCACATGTTTTTCAATTAATGCACATTTTGGAAACAAGCTATTTAGATTCTAAAAAAGCATTACCTAAAAAAAAGCCAGGTCAGGTCCCAGACGTTGAGAAAGCCTGTCCTCCTATATCACTTAAATTTATCACGACTTTGTCTTAGTATATGGTTAGGGTGAACAGCAAAAATAAGTATCTCCCAAAGATTATCCATATTCACCAAGACTGTTTATGAAACAATCCACAGAAAGCAAGTAATGAGTATACTCTTTGTCATGAATACCACACAATGCTAGGGAAAAAAAACGGAACAGGACAGACATGTTCCTTGCCCTAGAGGAGTTTCACTGTAGTGGAAAAGAAGTGGCAATGTAATTACACATGGCATGGTTGTTTTGAAATGCTAGGTACAATGGCTACTGTGGAGTCTTACCTTTAAGCTGGGTGGGCAGATGTCTAATGGACACTACCTCTTGCACAACGTACTGATTAACACCTCCACTTTTCAACAAGTCCTCTGGGGATAAGGGCAGATGGAACTCGTACAGTTGGGGAGGCATCCTTCTCCCACTGGCTCACCGGCTAGAAACCAAACAGTAAAAAAGTTAGGGACTAAGTCTAAGATCTGTCATTTTATTTGGTTCCCTTATTGCCCCACCTCCAATATGATTTTAATCTTACAACAAGCTGATGACATTATCTTAGAGGATATGATATCAACCTTGGAGTAGAATCCAACTGTTATTATAACTGCTACTTGGTCAGGTCACTTAACCCTTTTGGCTTCATTAGTAACAAGGTCACTAATATCTGATCACAAAGTTGCTCTTTGAGGAGCGGATGGACAACAGAGTAGTAAAGTGTTTAAAGACCTATAAGGCAGCACAGCAATGTCTAAGTTTCAGTGTGGACAAGTCTCATCTGAGCACTAATATTACTATTTATTCATTCTGGGTCAGATTCTGTTAGGCTATTTGAATATACCATATCCGATCTAACTCTCATCTTAGTCCCATGGAGTGCATAATAAATACCACAACCAATTTAAGACGAGGAATTTAAGGTTAAGCCGGAATTACACTCGTTCCGTTCCGGAGCTGTTAGACTTACTGACTCTACCACATCACACCCCAGGGATATACCTAATAGACCTCCCCTCAGACTGCATACTGCTAAGACGGCATCTACCTGCCTGTACCCGATTTTCTCAGCCCTTCACTCAAATAACACACCTCACCAGACAACCTCCGAACCTCCTCAGACCCGGGATTCCGGCAGCAATGGAAGGGGGCGGAGAACGAGGGCACAATACGAACCTATCAACGGAACTGTTTTGACGTTAGCAGAGAAACCGACCAATCCGCGGCAGGCTGAGAACAAGGCCCGCCTCTGAAACGGGCGCCGCGCGGGCTAATCCACCAACATGCAGTTCAAATTCCAACGGCTGCCAGGGGGCCAATTGCGTCACTCGCTGAAGCGATCAGCCAGTCACAGCACGGGAACCCCTCTCAGCGAGGGGCGGAGCCTCAACACAGGCTCGCAAGCCACGCGCCTACCATGTGTCCAGCACCCTCGGCTGCTTCTTAGCCCCGGCAGAGGAGATAAGGTCCTAGCACTCCCGGCCAGAGGTGTCTCGTTCCTAGCTGAGCAGTGGCTCTGCCGCTAGGAGAGTGACCTCCTCAGGTACCCCCAGAACAGGAGGCAAGTCCAGGCTGGAAGTCAGAAGATTGTGTTCTAGTCCAGGTCCTCCCATCTCCGCTTTGTGTCGTACAGCAGGTCGCTGCGCCTCAAAATCTCTGCCCTGTAAAACGGGAGTAGTGAAAAAACAGCGCACAGCTGTCGTGAGGCAGACAAAAGGGCTTGTTCTTTGAACAGTCCGAAACTCTGCCTTCCAGACGCTGAACCTTCATCTCCCTCACCGTTGAGGGACACCCGAAGGGGCGGGGAAGGGTCAATTTTCAATTTCAGTCTTTGGAAGCTCTCACAGCCCCCAAAGATATCCTCAGCTCTTTAAGTGCTCCAAAACCTCCGGTTTGCAGACCGGAAGCGTCTAGGCTGGGCGGGTTGTCTACGCCACCGTTGGCCGGAACTTGGGGGCGGGGCTAGTGGCAGGGGCGGGGCCTGCGCTCAAAGCTACCTGGGTAGGATCCAAGATGGTTGCCTGCTTTCCGAGACTAGTGTAAAGGTGGCAGGTACTGTTCGCGTTGTCATCTCCTTGAAGGCCACATTCTAGGGCTCATTTGATGTATGGTTGAGAGAACAGACTAGAACAATGGCAGGGGCCCTCTCTTGCAGGGCTAGTAGGTGTCTGTGGAGCTGGGTGACTTTGGCTTGCAGAAACTTTTCGCTGGGTAAGCGGCATTTGGAGATGGACCGCCCGAGAACTGCTTCTTGGTAAGCAGCTCGGAGTCATCTCATGTCTTCCCCATCCCTAGGTGTTCCAGGATTGTCCCGTATAAGGCTCACCCTGCCACCTCCCAAAGTGGTTGATCGTTGGAACGAGAAGAGGGCCATGTTTGGAGTATATGACAACATCGGGATCCTGGGTAAGACTTGATCTGGCGCGATACGAATTTCAGACTGGCTGGTAACTGGTTTTTTTTGTTTGTTTGTTTGTTTGTTTTTTTCCACCTGGTTAGCGAATGGTTCCGTGCTCAGTAGTAAAAGCAAACGGTTATATCACTTGTTATTATGTCTGGCACTGTTTTGAGTGTCCTACGAATACCAACCCTTTTAACTCTCATAAAAACCTTTTCACTTTGCAGGTAAGGAAGGAAACTGAGGAACCGAGAGGTTAATTCTTCAAAGTTAGTAAATAGCAGTATTAGAGTTTGAACCCCAGCCATTCTGCCTCTGAAATCTGTGCCCTTGACACTGTAATGTGTCTTCTCTGTAGGTGCTGCTCAGAAAGACACAACTCTGGGCTGAACACTTAGCTGGTCTAGGCTGAATTTTCTTGTCTTGAAATTAATATGTTCTTTCACATTATACAGGAGACTTTGAAAAGCACCCCAAAGACCTGATCATTGGACCCATATGGCTTCGAGGCTGGAAGGGAAATGAATTGCAGCGATGTATCCGAAAGAAGAGAATGGTTGGAAATAGAATGTTCATTGATGACCTGCACAACCTTAACAAGCGTATCCGCTATCTCTACAAACACTTTAATCGTCATGGGAAGTACCGGTAGAAGATAAATCTGGAATCTGTGCAGGAGGCACATCTGTCTTCCTGGAGAGCGGGGATAAGACTTGCCCTGTTAAGAGAGGGTTTTGTATGCTCACTAATAAAATGGAGCTTTGGGATCTAATATCCACACACTTTATTTTTCTCTAAAGGCTACTTGTATTTATACATAGGCTGTGGGTCTGACTCATCCTTAGGTCTTAGAGTTTTAGATTTGGGCTTGATCACTTGCTCTTTACAGTCTATATACTTATGGCCTTTAAAAATAGAGAAGTTGGTGAGAATAATTTATTGTTGGCATTTTTCAACATTAGCCCTTTATGTATTGAAAATGGTTTTTTTTTTTTTTTTT